TTTTTCGGGGAGAATTCAAAATTGTTTGAGACCACACCTTGCTTAACATCCAATTCCAAGCCGAGCCAAGCCAAGCTGAGCCAATATGCATAAATTCATTATAAAAAACAACAGTAGCCATTACTATATATGTACGCACGCAGTTCAAATTTTTCGGGGAGAATTCAAAATGGTTTAAGACCACACCTTGCTTAACATCCGATTCCAAGCCGAGCCTAGCCAAGCTGAGCCAATATGCATAAATTCATTATAAAATACAACAGTAGCCATTACTATATATGTACGCACGCAGTTCAAATTTTTCGGGGAGAATTCAAAATAGTTTAAGACCACACCTTGCTTAACATCCAATTCCAAGCCGAGCCAAGCCAAGCTGAGCCAATATGCATAGATTTATAAGCGCTTTTATATTAAAATTTTGCTCGCTTTTTAAACGAATATCCCAATATAACAAATTCTCCATCCTATTTTAACTTCCTTTGATGCTTTTTAATCAGTCAGGTCACAAAAATCATTAGTGATATCGCAATGAAATCAATTTGAAATTTTTTTTTAATTATTGATAAAATTTTTAAATTGTTGATAAAAATAACTAGTATATATAGTGTAGTAAAACGTTTAAAATTTTCTGAAAGAATTTAAAATAATTTGAGACTACACCACAACACAATTGTACAATTTGAATGTGTAAATACAACATTATAAATGTATTATAACTACATGTCTATTTCTTTATTTAGTTCTGCCTGTGTATATTTTGTCAAATTTATTTGATAGGAATTGAATATAACCTTTATACCGGCTGATTAACTACCACGCAGTAAAATAACTACTGTTGACACCATTTCCTCCAACGATTTCGCAACGAATTGCCCATACCATATAATTAGAATAAACTCTTTCAATCAATGTTTAAATTTTTATATTGTCATTTATTCTTTCGTTTTTGTTTCTGTACTAATTTTCGTGTCAGATACAATAATTTAGTTTTTAAGTAAATTTTCATTTTCATAGCTATACACAAACATGCCTACCTGTTGCATTAAAAATTGCATTAATAATAAATAGAAATGAGAAAATTTCTGATGCATCTTTTCACAGGTTTATTTTCAAATTAACTTCACACTAAAATAAATGTAACAATATCCCTATACTCATTGAATAGAACTATTTTGTTTTACAATTAAATATATTTTATTTTATAGACTATTATAATTTATAATGCTATCATGGATTACCATTTTATTATTAATAAAAGCAATACTTAAGAAATGCACAAGTTTCTGTAACAGTTTATAAAATTTCAGATTTCCTCAAAATGTAAAAATGCAAAACGATTGGATTAAGTGCATCAGACAGGAAATAAATGATTTCAAATGGCTTCCATCAAAAAATGCAAGAATATGCAGTGACCATTTCTGTAATAAAGATTATAAGGGTTATGATGGAGAAAGGAAGGTAATGCTGAAGAAAGCATTCCCATGTTTTCAAGTTAGTTATATTTATATGTCATCAGTTACACAAGGAAGCAGTTCATATCATCATTGTACATTGCAACATTCTTATCTATACAAAAATATAAAATGCATTCAACAATATTATCCATGTATTTTATTAAAACTTAGAAAGGGCATAATGACATTGTGAATAATAAACCCTGCTTAGGACTGGGATCATCATCATCATACCAAACACCATTACAAGTAGAGTCAATTTTATATTAATGCTTAACAAGTTAACTAAATTGGCATAATCAAGTTTTTATATGAAATACACATCAAATATTTAATGTAACAAATAAATTAACAGAAAAATTTCTGGAAAAGTTTAAAAAAATTAGAACATATAACTCTGATCAAAAATCATTTGCGTTGACACTGCATTTGTATGGGCATAAGGCATATGATTATCTTTGGACAAATAAATGGCTTACATCTTCCTCGCACTAGGACATTAAGAAAGTAATCTTGTCATACCTGTTCAATAATTTTAATAAGATTGTTTTAAATAACTATTCTCAATGCCATTTAATTAACACTACATTAAAAGGTGGCTAAAAAACATTGATGGTATGCCTGGGGTGATTTCTACAAACCTTATTGACTAATGGTGATGGGGATCCTCTGGAACTGTAGGATCATGACATTTAATCTAGTCATGGATTGAGAAATCAATCCTTGATATATTTGATAACAAACATTTATTATAATATAAGAATGAAAAAAAGATGTAGGTGTAAGGCAAAATCTTACTGGAATTTTTAGCAATTTATGATTTATTTTTTTATTTATGACTTTATCCATTTTCAATGATACCGATATTTTTAATTATTATTATCCAAATTATACTCATGCCTATATAAATTAATTTGATTGTGGCTATTTCTATGCTTAATTATTTTATTTACTTGCCATAGGTATGCACAGCATTTAATAAATTAATGATAATAATTAATAACACAACATTCTAAGTGCATAAAATATAATAAATTAAAAGTACAATTTTTACAAACCTCATTGGTTATGGTGATGGGGATTCTTTAAAACTGAATGATCATGATCTAACAAGTTATGGATTGATGAATCACTGGAATCACACATTATCTTTAATAAATTTAATAACAACATGTACTACAATTTAAGAATGAGGAATATTTTGTAAAACATTAAATGAAAAAAATTTAGTTTGAATCACTCATAATTAATCAATTTTAATTAAATTGCAAGTTAGCTTGGGGAGTTTGAAGCTTGAATTGAACAAATTACAAAAGTGTTTATTTTATAAAATTGATTGACAAGTTGTTTAATATATTTATTTAATTTAGTATATTTTATTCCCAGACCTAAGCATTGTAAATAAAAATTTTAAAACCAATCAAGCAATAGAATTTAGGATCTTAGGAACAAGTGCTGTTAGTCATTAACTAACTGTAGTAGTAGTGGTTGGTAGTTTCTAGTAGTCTAATCTGTTAATGTTCGTTAGTGTTATCTGTTATTTATTTCAATTAGTAAATAGAATCAGTAGAGTTTAGTTTTAGCTTAATTATTAGAGTTTAGTAATTTAATTACTAATTAGTCGTCGTTTAGTGTTGTTACAGTTAATGAGTTAAGACTTAACTAACTGTTAAAAGTGTTGTTGGTGGTTCACAAAAAATATTTTTATTTAAAATGCAAAAAGATACTTAACCGTCATACAGCAATATCTATCCTAAAACAGCATCTAGTACCTTTTAAAACATTTTAAAATTTTAAATAAAAGCAATATTCCGAAATTAGTAAATATACGATCGTAACTTTTGACTTGGGCGAATAAAAATCACCCTCCAATTTCCCTCCGAAAGTAAGCTCCTTGTTCAACCGTCAAAAATGAGCGAAGGCCGTTATATTTATTCTAATTATATGATACAACCCTCTATGCGGTATGTTGTGCAATGAAATTCAATATATTTTTTTGTTCGCTTAAAATTTTCAGCTAATAAATAAAGCCTCGATAAGTTAAGGTTTTTATGTTCTTATTTATTTGTTCTTCATATGTTTTATTGTCAAAACAGTCAGTAAATAATGTAGGAATTGAAAATCGGTTAACTTATTGTAATTGGCATAAGTAAAAAATAGTACGGTAAAACCAATCATAGATGAATATCTGTTGATAAAATAAACCGATGAATGTTTAATATATTTTGCCGAATACCATCACATCAAAGGTTATCCGCCCATCTATCGCTCAATAATACTCTACCATCGACTAAAACAATTGAGGTTGTAGAAGGAATCAAGTTGATAGCCGCCGTTTAGAAGAGTGGCGCGGTGGAAGCGTGCTGGGCCCATAACCCAGAGGCCCGTGAATCGAAACCACGCTCTGCTAGATTGATTTCCTTTTATAATATCAAATGAAGGAATGTGCTATAATGTAACTTTTAAGAAAATGTCAGATTGTCATCGGTAATAAAAATTATGCGTCTTAATGTTGCAGACTGTAATTTCTTGTTTGACATTCAAATATTGACTTACTGTCACTCTACATTTTGGAATCATGCGCAAATTTTTAATAACTCTACTAAATACGTAGAAGAATTCGGTTAAAAGAGATTCACTAAAAAATACAACAAATTGAACTATACCCGAGTGCAAATGAGTACGTAGAACAATCGAGATAATTTGAAAAAATTAAATTTAAAGATGAGATGCAATACTCATTGAAATGCTACCAAAAAACGGAAGAAAGATCATCCGCCCATCTTAACGAAGAGAAATCGAGGAATGTAACGTGCCACGGTTATCATTAGGTAGGCATCCAAGTTTGATGACGTCAGCCGTGCTATATTACAATCTACAATTACCTTTTCGGCGATATCATTCAGTAACATTGAGATTTCGTGACAATGAAGTAAAAACGAAAGAACATTTACTAGATTATATTTCTAAATTATATATTCACTATCAAACAAACAGTTTAGAATAAAATTTGCTGAAACTTCAACACGATGGTATCCATCATCAAACCATTATTACACGCACCAGTGTTGCATCATCAGCCAGCATCATCGTCGTTGTCATCGTCACATTCGCCAGCTTCTTCATTCAACTGACTCAACCTATGACTGATCATATCTGAAATTAAAAATGATATGATATAAAAATTAAAAATTTAAATTAAATTAAAATTATTGAAATAATAATGGTTACTCTCTCTAATTTGGTGTGTGTAAATGTAACAGGCACTTTGTTAATGCTTTGGTATTTGTAGCTATTGTAACTGGGACTAATATAAAAAAATAAAGAAGAGATATGAAACGACTCTTATTCGTATAGAGGTAAATGTTTAATTTTCGCTGCTCAAAGATTCCATTTTACAAAAACATAATAATGAAAAAACTCTATGAAGCCGGTTACTATCAGCATTTTGCCGTCAAAACTAAGATAGATAAGTTAATGGGAATAATATTGCTGGCGGGAAAATAAAAATTTTGATCAATCAAATATTTAAAATAAGTGGACAATTCAGCTAACGAGAAAGTTAGAATAAATATGATGGATGCGTGTAGATAATAACAAACAACCATATTTTATATTATAAAATATCTTAAAATTAATCCCATCACCTGATTTTTGTTGATATTGTTGGGTTGATCGTTGTGTCTGTTTTTGTTGCTGCTGGTCAGTTAATCTTCCACCTTTTATTAATTTGTCAAGTAGGAGTCCAATGCGTTTCTTCAACTTTTCAATGTTTTCCAAACTTGTTGGGATCTGATTGGCTGCTGTTGAAATGGCGGGCTCAGGATTGATGCTCTTTGAAAAGTAAACTTTCAACATGCTGGTGATGTTGCTCTCGACAATTTCTTCCCAACCCTGTTTGCATCGTCAAGTGTCAAAGTGGGCTGATTCTCTCAGTTGTTTGTTACTTACTCAGTGAATTGTTTATTATTAACGTTCAACAAAAGGAAAATAACGCCAAAAAGTAAAACTATTTTATAAAGTCTGAATACGTGATTTGAATAACATTGAATGACTTGCTGAAATGGAAAAAAAACACACCCCAGAGGCGTCGCAGGAGTGAACGTTGGGAGTGAAAGAAGATTGAAATATTTTCATTTCCTCGTCTGACAGATTGAGAGCGATTCTGATAAGTAGGATGATGAGATGAGTGGCAGCCGACAGTGATGATGATGCTTGTCGCAACTTGAGGTCATTTGCATCTATTTGCTCTGTTATCGAAATTATCTGCCAACAGATATCATTTCATTTTTAATTTTATAAAATTTCACTTAAATAAAAAAGCCAAACATAGCATAGAACTATCACACATACTACCTAACAAACGAACAAATATAAATACATACCCACAAACTAATAAACCTGTTTGTATGTAGCCTCAAGTAAGAAATCAAGTTTCTTGAGAGATGTGGCCGACTTGTCTTTGAATATTATCAACAACCTCTTCTGAACTGCCCTGTACTGCAGAGCTGTCGACTCCAACAACAAATCAAGTTTCACTTTTTCTCGCCGACACTGTATATTAATCACGTTTGAAACATTTGAACATTTAGACCTAAAACAACAACAACCAAACTAACCCCTAGACAATATCAATATTTGATGCTCGTATAAAAGATAATGCTACAATGATACACTACATTTCGTACAATGATACACTACATCTCATACAATGATACACTACACCTCGTACAATGATGCACTACATCTCATACAATGATAGACTACATCTCATACAATGATACACTACATCTCATAAAATAACCAAGTTACATTGAGATAAACAAAAAACAACAACATTACAGCAACATAAACAAAAAAACAACATTATATCAACATAAATAAATTCAACATTACAGTTACATTAATATCAACAACGACAAATGAACTTCTAACATCAATAACAAACCTCGACAACATAATAACAACTCTACGAGTCCATATCTACTACAACAACAATAACAACAACAACTCTATGGAAAAGAACTGACTTGAAAATGTTGGTCCATAATATGGAAGTATTCAACTAACGGTAGCTGCTTTTGCAGATCTATCGACAACCTGACATCTGGCGATTTTTTATTCAATCGTTTAACAAAATCTTTCAAGACGAGCCACATTTCAGGTAAGCTGTCAGATTGCAATCGAAACCTATCTGATTGATCAGTGGATTGATTTATTGATTAATCGATCAATCAGATGGTAGATTGATTAAATGATTAGTTAACTGGTTAAATAAATCACTGGTTGATCGATTGATTACTGACTGGACGATTAAAAAGTTGATTGATTGAAGACATTTCGGCTGAGAAAATGAGCAACCATTTGGTTAAATAATTAATTAACAGCGGTTAAAAAACTCTTAATGAATAAACTTAAATAAAGAACAACCAACCAGCCAAACGATAATGATGTAGTTTTTTAAATTATTTAGCGACAATAATGCCCACAAATACAAAAAATAACTAACAGATAAATTGACACAACTAAATACTGTAAGTGCTGCATGGTGCAGAGCAGGCAGTTCAACGAAACGTACTAACTTGAAGTTTTAGAACTTAAAAAAGTGACAACAGCTCTATCACTCTGCCCGACACACTTGAAAGCAACCGCAAGCGAACCATCCTCACCATCAACTACACTTTCGTTCCTCATATCTGTCAATTAGAAAAAAATTTTATTTAACCTTTAAGAACGTTTGTTAAACCACAATGTTCAGGAATAGTTTTGTCCGTACAAATGTATTCCAGCTGTCAGTTTTGAGATGTAGAATAGTAACAAATTTGTTTGAACTCTGAATATATGTACTAAAAATCGATCGCCGATATTACCAACCATTCTATCCGCCCTACTATACTAACCCATGCTTAAACTAAACCAGTCAGGTAGAATAATGAATCATCACAAACCACAAATCTTTACACACATACACACATAAACGAGCACGCTCACACAAACAACCCCACACATAAAGCACACACGTATAATCAATAATTTTCAACAAACCACTGTATAAAGAGTTGAGATCAAATGAAGCAACATTAGAGTCCATGGTCAACTTGATGCTTGATGTCTTCTCTGGCTCCACCCTCTCCATCATGATTGGCAGTTCAATTTCAGATGATCTCTCCAACACTTTTATCCCACCTACAACGGAATACTCAAGTGTGTGTGCGTGTGTGCGCGCGTGCGTTTGTTTTGAAGTGTACAACAGACCAAGATACACTTATAAAGCTATGTAATAAATTTAATATTATGCTTATATATATATATATATATATATATATATATATACATAATAAGCAAGCAGAATGAGCAAGGTGGTAGCAAGCAGAATCGAACTTTGCCTCAGTTCATAGCGCTGGCTGATGAATAATATTGTCTGGGTAGTTAAGGATATTCACTGAAGCAACTTTACAAATAAACCTTGTTCGTTGTTGAAAGTAGCGAGGACGTGGATGAGTGGATCAGAAACGACTGAGGCCTCCTTCATGAAGGCATGCACACTGGCACTGAAGCCAGTTGAAGGATCTCAGGAAGAACGACAACATCAAATTATTATACATGCAACATGTTTTTACGATCAACAACAAACTGTAATTATAGTAACTTTTGTTTACAACTTAAAAATGTTACAAAAAATGAATTGCGCTGTATGCGGATATTAACTGTTGAAATGTGATTTTTTTTGTTCTTCATTGTGCATGCAGCTCTGAAATGCTTACATATCATTCCTCTATTTAAACTTTCGTACCGCAAAAGCTGTACTAACCACACCACACCACACGCACACACAAACACACGCACACACAAACATATAATGTATACACGTGCAAACGCCGCATCATACACGCATGGCGTATGGTAACCTTTAAGTTTCGGACAGACAGCATTCGAACCAGGTCATCGCGTAACTGCACGAGACATGACACTTCTACCGGCTGAGTTAACTCGCCAACTGATTCAACTTCTGACCATCAACATCACATCAATAACATCATCGCCATCACATCACTCACCTAATCTATCAAGGAAAAATGATTGCTGATCAACGGCCAGAGGATGAAGTGTTGATACGTGCAGTCTCACATTTGTTAGTGCATGTTTGCTTTGCAACACTATCTTTATTATTGTTTATATTGTTCGTTATTGTTTGGTGTAGTCATTTGAGATTGTTGTTTGGTGTTGTGTGATGACCTCGGTTTTATTGTTGTTGTTGTTGTTGCGCGTGCGTGATTTGTTGTTGTCGTTGGTGCATGCTTGCTATAAAGTACAAGACTGTTTGTCGTTTTTGTTGTCCGTCGGTTTTTTTTAGTTAATCAATGGAGGTCGAGACAGACATCAGCTCAATTGAAATGCTCTTCTAAATGATCGATGTCGCCAGATCAAATTGTTAAAAACAATTTAATTAAAATAAAGTATGGGAAAACGAAATATTTTTAAAAATCAAAAACATGTCCGTATGAATGCACATGCAAGTACATAAACACGCAGCAGATGAACGTAACGTATGTAATATAAATACATCACATACACGTTTATAAGACCTTGAAAAACCACCTTGAAGAGGGCAGCCTGATACTCCCCATTCAATGGAAGGTCTGTTTCAAACGTGTGCTGAATGACGTAATGCAATTTGTTATTACTGCAGTTAAAAATGTTACCAAACTGTCATCATCTCCACATCATTTCTTATTTATAATTTGAATTTCGTGTCCTGCCCACTAAGGCTGCATCATCCACGCAACTTGCTTTGCGCACACAAAGACCGTATGACGTATAAATATTTCTTTGAAGCAGTTATTCAAACCAATACAAAAATCGCCAGACATCGCAGAGTTGCCATCTGAGATGACATGACAGCCCCACTTGCCCAACGTTACACAGTTCATCTCAACTCAAACGTCATGCTTAACTAACACAAATCATACAAACCTCACCTAGCGTACCACATACGGTACCGATTGCGAGATGGTAAAGTAGTCGAAATCGAAAAAATGCCACCACATTAAAATGATCTAACTAACAGCCAACACACGTCACAGCAACCAACTAACACTTAGAGGCACGAGTTTGATGAATGATGCAGACATGTTGATGGCGTCACTGTCTGTCTTCTGGTGTCCTGCTTTTGACAGGGCCTGCTCGTCTACGTCACATCAACGTCACACAATGTTTCGTTATTTTTATTACTATCAATATAAGCACTTTAACTATAATTAAATGTGCAATGTATAATGATTTAATGATTACTGATACAATAAATCTTATTATAGTCAAACAACAATTTTTTCAAAGTAGACCGGAAGAAACGAAAAAATTATTAAGCGCATCAGTTGCTGTAATAACAAATTGGAGACAGCATCACAACATCATCCACTCAAACATTCCAACTGACAACGTACCATCACAACCCCCCTCTTCACACACACACACGCACACATACAAACACGCACACACACACACACACAGGCCACTCAATCATTTCAACAGGACCGACTTGGACTCGACTCTCCTTGCTTTCTCTTAATTAATTCCTGCAACTTTTTCAACTCAGCTTGAGCCTCATTGAAGCCAGCTTCCCTCGAACTATTACTCTGGAAAACGGGTCGTGACCAGACGGAGGGCTCAGTACCCAGGAAAAGAGCGGCCAGACGACCACTGTCGTCCATCGTAACAATGCATCCCTTGCTGGCTCTGTTGGCAGGGCAAGCATGAAGTCAAGTGACGAACGTGATCATACAATGCACCGCAACTTAAGATATTGATTACGATACGATACGATACAATACAACACGATACGATATTGTACAGTGTATGCGATACAAAACACCAAATAAGACATTCACAGAACAACCCACCAAGACATCAAATTGGTGATTGATTAAAAATTATTTCTACACTAAATGTAAAGTCTTCACTGAAACTGCCAACCCGTCAGTAGAGATTCTGGCCACTTGCACAGGTACATTGGCTAAGTTGGCGGCCCATTGCAGTGTCGTGTTCTTATAAACGAGCAGTGTTTTGTTGTGTGTTGTTATTAAAATGTTCACCGTTAGTTCCTCAACATCTGAAGAGGATATATGGGTATGATAAAAATTACTTTTATTACTGTATTTTCAGTATTCTATTTTGATATTTTTGTTGTTGATGTTGTTGCTGTTGATGATGTTGTTGATGATGTTGTTGATGATGTTGTCGATGTTGTATTGTTTTTTTGATATTGGTGTTTATTTATTACTGTAACTGGCTACAATATTTATGTAATATTTCATCAAGCTACAACTGATTAAGCGGAACAAAAATTTATATAATTAATATCTCAATTGAGAATAGGAAAATGGCAAAGCGTCATCTGCGCGCACCAGTCAGTTCAACAAACTTGGCGAGTAAACAAAGAAGGAGCTGGGATCAAATTCAAATTTTTTCATCAGGAAGATAACTCCAGAACTCGTGAATGCGTACAAGTTTCTTTCACCTTTGTAATTATCATCAACAACAACGTCATCTAAATCATCATTATTGTTTTCTTTACCAATCGCATCCTTACAATCGTCTTAATTGAAATATTTAAATTTAAAAAAAATTCAAACAACAAATAAATATCTTATCAAAATCATTAATATTTCTTCAGGGTCAACATTAACAACAGCATCAACATCATCAAGGACAACAACATCAACAACGCCAACATCAAAAAAACGATAACAACATCAAAAACAACATCATCAACAGCAACAACAACAACAACAACAACAACAACAACAATAACATCAACAACACCAACATCAAAAGCGATAAAAACAACAACAACAACAACAACACCATCAACAACAACCTAGGACATAGATGTTTTGTTTGTTTGAGGTATGGTGCGTCACAACTTGTATATCTCTGGCGTTATCATTGGTGATGAATGTCCAAAACGCCTTTAATTAAGAAAGTGTATTGAGTACAAACTAAAACTGTGAAATTGTTTTTGACTATTTGTTATTTAAAATATATGAATATGTATGACCTATAAGTATGTTTTATGTTTTAACTCAATTTAACACGGAAATGCGAGCAAATCAAAATGAACAATAAAAAAATCAACAAACATTTATTTTCTTGCCAGATGATGAGATGCCGTCTTGCGCTTTACTGACGTTGTCTGATGATGTTGCAATCGTCTGCAGCCTGCATTCGGCATTCAGTGTGGAGTAACGTTCGATGACGTTTTAATTGGTAAATTCATGACATAAAATGATCAGACAATGGACGAACGTACATAGGTATATGTTGTCATATAAATCTGTGGTTCAAACCCAGATGGGAAGAATTTTTAACATTATCAAAAACCAAGCAGTGTCGATAGTAAAAATGTCCTATCATACGGTGTAAACCAAACAACACTGTTAATAATTAATAATGTTCACATGACAGCAATTCAACGATCAACAATAATACACAGCGGCACAATGATGCAACAATGACAGAACAACGATACAATAATGAAACGATAAAAAAGAAAAGAAAACATTTTCCTACTCATAACATTCCACCATCCTTGCCGAAGAAACAGTAACAAAGCAGTCAGTTGACCCGACGTAGACGATTGGTCCAGGAATTAGTGAATTAGGCAAGCATCGGCTCAATGCATAAACTTCCTGCTCGTATATTGATATCACCCCATCTAGTGACTGAACGCACAAAAAATCCTTGCCTTCAAGAATTGTTAGTTACAAAATATGGTTATTGATTTGTCAATTGCAATGTTACCAGGAAAATTAGCTCAATGATACATCCTCAGTTATAAGAATCAAAAGTTGCAGGTTCAAATCCAGTTGATGATACCAATCATTATCTAGTAAGTTTTGGGGTGAACCTGAGCTGCTAATCCAGCACAAACACCAATGATAAAGAATTTCCCGTTCGAATCAAATTTCCAAAAAATTGTTACATGTATGTCGTTGTTAAAATAAATGTCATTCTCACTAAATAATTAAATGAATAACAAATACCTTGTACTTTTCCAAAAGGACCATGACACATGTTGAAGGCATTTCTTCTGAGTTTGTGCTCATATACGCAAGTCATGTTGCATTCCAGCAGTGTGCTGCTGTTTGAACCAAGGCTCTGCACTGGGATTTTGAATTTACTTTAATTTTATTTTTAAAAATCCCATTATAACCCCAACGACAAATGAAAAAAAAGAAACTAAGAGTTTTACAACTCTTTTCAACATTGGAAAAATAAAATTGATTACGAAATCGATAATTGAAAATGTTGATAAAGAGAATAAAAGATGAACACAGAAAATTTTTGTGTTCATCATGTGAGAAGATGATAAAATTTATATATAGTGTTCATAACTAAACAACTACAATGAGGTAATTACACTTCAAAACTTACTTTCAAACAAGTAGACTGACAACTTTTTAATCTGTAGAACAGCAATGGAGAGTGTGGGAGAACTTCTGCAAATTTGGAAAAATAATTTAAAAAACAATTATAAAATAATTTATCATATTCATTAATCATGTATAAAGATTTAGCTTTTCTTTGTTTTAAAATATAAAGATGTTGAATTAACATTAAAAAAGTAGAATGATCTCACACAACAAATCTTCCAACAACTACATGGATAATGGGTTCTTTTACAGCCACCTCGCACAACAATTCATCGGCTCTTGAATGCATGGTTGCAGGCAAGCTCGAGTTCTCATTCATATTTTCAGTAGAACTAGTTGCTTGTAACTTTTTGTGGATTTCATATTTTAAATTTGGCTGATATATTCTTAACACCCCACCGAAACTGCCAACTACAATTTTATCTATATAAAAATATAAAATTCATATTCAAAATCTAAAGCTCTAATTAGAGAGCAATATAAAATATGAAAAAAATAACAACCTAAATCGTTATTTAATTTGAAATTAAAATATATAAACTAGGCCAACAGTCACAATTCAATAATAACTAACTAATCTCACACAATAACAAGTATTTATTATCCAATTTTAAAGTATTATTATTATAATTAGTCTTTATTAATTAATAAATCTCTCTTAGAGGTATTGACAGCACACAGAGCATGTGAATACCTAGGCTAAGCAAATGGTAGGCAAGAGTTTTTTTTGCATTCAATCAAAAGTTATCACAACATCAGCGAAACCTAAACCAGGTGCCTTGTTAAGCCTTCTTAACCATTATTATGCTATCTTACCTTCCAAAAATTTTAAATGTTATCTAATTTTTGTGAAACCTCAATTTATGTTAATTTGCTGATAAATATATAATAGGAAAACGAAAAATATAATGAAAAATAAATATTCATTAATAATAACAACAAAACATTTATGAATACATGAATAACTACCGCGGCCTGAATGGTCGAGATCAGCCAAACACATACACCCAACATCGAACACCTCCTCAGCGTTGTTGCCCACATCAGCTGACCAGATTTCTTTCGTTTTAAAGAGCGACATATTTCACGCAAAATTGCAAATCAAATATTTTTTCATAAATTTGGCAATTAAATTTGTTTAAATACAGTTTATAAAATATTGTGTGACAAAATGTTGGGGGCTAAAATGCTTCATTCATCATTCCAAAATAAATCTATTGGGTTCTTTTAATATCGTTCACCTTATTTTAGCCTAGCAACGCATTGGTTTCTACGGACTCATTTTATGCGAAGAATCTATGAACATTAAAACTTAATCTTTGCAATTTAATTGTTGTTGTTGTGAAGTTAACCAAAATAATGAAACCTTATCTGCAAATTGTATATTTGTATAATTTCGTATCAACAACTAAAAATCAAAAGGCAGTCTAGTTTAGTTTGATAAATAAATAGCAGTAACATGTATGAAATTTAAAACTAATGGGTAGTGAAGACGTCGAGAAGCATTAGAAAACTTTATGCATAAATTTTAATTGAAAACTGCACAAGGTATTTATATTTCATTGCAATACATTACTTCATTTTAAGCTGCGACAAAAACGAACGAACGATACAGCCATCGTACCTGTAAAGTACATATGCTTCAACTAATGTAACTCATCAGATACGCCTCGCGCACGCTTGTGCGTACGTATGTATGGATGTACGTACGTGTGTGCGTGATTGCACGTGTGTTGGCATACTATATACATACTGTATGTTTGTGTACAAACATGTGCGTAGTTGCGTACGTGCCCGTATGTGTGTGTGCGTATGTGAGTTAGTAAACTTTTGGATGTATTGTGTTAGCGTGGACGCGTGTATATATGATCAAGAATTTAATTATATTTCAAGATTTTTTTTTCTTCCAAAGGTTTTTCAATAAGTTTTTTTAAATATCTTTATCGATGCTGATTGTTTGTCTTGGGCAATTGAGTACAAAATTTATTTTCTCAGTATAGATGAAAACGTTTTTTACATTGAATTATGAAAATAGAATTGGAAAAATATGTTTGCTCTGCTGTTTACACATATTCGTTTTAAATGCAATTTCATTGAAACGCTTGCTCGATGTTTGCCTACGTGTTTGCCAATTTAATCGAATTTTACATAAAAATGTAGCATCTTCCGCACGATGAAATGCGATCGAATGCGTATGTGGGATCCAGTTATGCTGTTATTATATATCAGTGAATGTTTTCAATTGAAAGTATGTAGAACCTAGAACCTTCAACTTAATCATAAAATATTTGTCTAGCTCGGTGTGGCCTTTAAAAGTGAACTTCCATATTGCCAGAGTCGTCAGAGCAATTTTACCGAGACAGACAAACTCACCAACTCATCAGTGGCGCGCACTCGGAGATTTTAAAAACGTTTCTTACTGATTTTTTTTGTTCCATTATTGTCACAGACTCCACTACAATTTCAGCAACAACACTATCCTAATTTTCATTTTCTACAAAGAGAGCACTTCATGTTGTTTACAAACACTGCACACCCATATTTTGAATTCATATTTCCATCAAGGTGCATCAAGAAACTAACTCACCTTCACCATGGCATGCAACAACAGGTGAAGAGTGAACACATTCTAAAGTGTCCAAAATCGTTAGATATTTTATGAATCTCTCTTTCTGTCTCTGTCTCTGTCTCTCTCTCTCTCTCCTCTCTCTCTCTCTCTCTCTCTCTCTCTCTCTAAACGGCGCGATGATGCAAATGATGATGTAGATGATGATAATGATTATGCAGATGACGAGAAGTGCCTTACTAAAAATATCGATACTTTAACTTTGCACCTACCATAATCCATCCATCCATCCATTCATTCATCCATCCATCCATCTTTCATCACCATGGCAACTATCAGTTGAAATGAATAGGGAGTTGTATATGTATACTTACTCTATGGCGGTTTGTTATGGTGTGTCTGTTTCTTCCGGTGATGATGATGTGGTTATGTGTGATGATGTGTTGTTGTGATAAAGTGTTGATGTGATAATGTGATGATGTGTTGATGTGATGATGTGGTAATGTGATAATAATATGATGACTCTTGTATTGATATGTTGGCAAAATGTGGTGAGGCGATGTGTGGTGTGGTTTAACTAATTCAATGTGGGAAAAACCAAAAAACAAATATAATGTCATCACCATCATCATCATAATAATGATGATCATTAATATTCGTCATCACCATCATCATCATTTTTTTATTCTTATTGTTTTTATGCATCATCACCATCATCTTCATCATCACCATCAGTGTCATCTTATAGAAAGTTGGCAATCCCGTTTCTATGGCATCAATTTTTATTTCTCAATCAATCTCTTCAAGTCACCTGAGCTGTAATAATAAAAACGAAATAATATAAAAATAATTTAATAATAAAAATAATAATAATGAAAATAACAATAAACATTCTCTCTCATTAAAAACTTAATTTATTTTTAGAAAACTGTAAAAAAGCAAAAAATAGCAAAGAAAAACTCCCCAAAAAAGTTGAATTAACTGATCATCGAATAAGAAGTATGGAACTTTTAAAACTTTTAGTTGACAATGTCCACAATGTCAAATTATTCTATATTATTGTTTGTGTTATTAATTTTTTCTAAATTAATAACACTAAGAATTTTGAGCAGCACATTTGAAACCGCAGTATCAGACGTCTTTACCATTACACAATTCAGCGCCAAATTTTTTAATTATTATCTTAGGATTAGTTGGACTTTTTTTAATTTCATGGAAATTTCTGGATGGTCCTTCAATGGGATTGGCTCTTATGTTAGTCACACCACCTGAATTTATTTCTTATTTATTTATTTTTCACTCAACCTGAGGACATTTTTTGGGCTTTTCGTTGAAGAACACTCTTCTGCATATGATCATGTAACATTATTGAAATTTTTTATAAATCTACTTCCTCAAATATCTCTCAGAGGTTCCAACAACAGACAGACACAATGTACATTGATATGTGTAAGTTAACGTATCATAGACGTTGAATGGGATAGGTGGAGAGCTTTCTCGATTCGAATCCAGTCACTGTGCATGCAACAAGTGCTAGGCTTCTTAACCATTACATTATCTCGCCTGTACTGTAATAGTTAATAGTTGTAATGTGATAACAGGAAAATAAATAATTTTTAATAATAAATTATTATTATCATTATTAAAATAAAGATGGAATGTATCACTTTGATACCTATCCTAGATCATTCGGAAAATATATACTTAATTCCTCTGTTTATCTAACCAAATACTACATATATGTATTTATGCATGTGTTTGTGTGTGTGTGTGTGTATGTATATGTGTGTTTGTATGTGTGTGTGTGTGTGTGTGTGTGTGTGTGTGTGTGTGTGTGTGTGTGTGTGTGTGTGTGGTGCGTGTGTATGATTTTTTTCTCTTTCTCTCTTTCTCTCTCTCTCTCTTCAGCAGCCGAAAGTAATGTCGTCAGCCTACAAATCATGGAGATGTATTTGTTTTCCCTGATACCTGTAACTTCTCCACGTACGTGAAGATGCTCTAAGTTACTATCACCTCATGTCTCATTTTGTACGTATGTATTGGTAAAATATTTTTTTTTCATAACATTATATATATGTTATTAATTAATAACATATTTATATTTCTGTATATAATAATGATATTGTATTATTTACATAACGCATCTGTACACATATGATGTTTCTAAAACTAATGGGATTTATTTGAGATAAATAAATGGTTGTAGAAATTTATAAAAATAATTTTGTATAAGTGAGTGATTTTGATTTAAAAATGTCAACATACCCCTAGACATATATTTTACATAGTTTATGAGTGAAGATTTTAAAAAATTTTATATTAACTAAATAGCTCGCTATTTTGAATACATTTGATTTGCAAATTTGTATATTCATTTATTTATGTCTTCAATGTATAAATCAGTTGACATATTCCATATGCATCATCTCATCTGATTATTATGTAAAAACGCGCATAGATTTGAACCAATATTCATAACCTTACAACATGTAAGCTACCTGTATTATATAAATATGCATTCATACAAAAACCTGCATCTATGACATATATGTGGCTCTGCGTCGATACATTCAACGTTTATAAATGGATTCATTGAAGATTGCTTGGGACTGCCTCTCAAAGGCTGACAATCACCCGGTTGTTCTTAAACGCTAAAGTTCTTGAGCGTTTCGAAGAGAACTTATCGTGATTTGTAACTGTTGCTCATTGATTTAACAAAGTTTAATAATAAGAAAATTTAGAACCTTTAAAAGAATTAATCGTATTTCAAATAAGTTTCCCGAAAATTTTATATAATAATAATAATAATATATGATCATAATTTATGAAAAATTGGGACAAACAATTTTGTAGTATTTTTAAAATTATTAGTTAACATGGCAACGACAAATACCGAGACAAACTCATTAGCGACAACTTCTCTGAAACGATTCACTCGTCGCTTCAGTGAGATGACAATTCTAAAAAAGTCACAAAAGAACCACGACACAGAAGGCAACAGAAATGTCCAGTTCAAATTGAACAGATCACTAACAAATATCAGCCAAGAAAAAGAAACAGATTCTTCAAAGGAGGATCTCACAGATACAGATATTTGCGTCCAGTTACCTCACAAATCAGAAAAGTTTCGTTTCAAAGTTGAATCGGTGAAAGAAGAGATGAGACGACATTCGGCGGATACATGCTCACCATCGTCCGGCGACCGTCGAACGAGAAGAATAAGCAGCACTTGTCAGGAAGATGGCCGAAAAACATTCGGACACAACACGCTGGAGAGCCTGCCCCACGCTGACCACTACAGGAACATCATCGGTCCTGATGGAAAACTTAAGCAGAGGCCGACCCTCATAGAACTGCACGAGCAACGATTTCAGGTGAGGTGGAACAAAATATGTCGTCGCGATAATATTTCCGGAGTTTTATTTTAACGATAACAAATGAGTAATTTTGATTGATGCGATGTGTTTTTCTATTATTCATTATTATTATGCTTATTTTTTAGTATTAAATTAAAAAAAATGATATTTAAATATTTATGTAACTGATGGAGACATAAATATTGTAAATTAGCTCACAAAGTTTTTTGCAAATTTGCTTAACGGATTTGTTGTTATTTTTAAACTCTCGTTTTAGAGGTTAAATAGGAAATAATTGGATGAAAGCCTCTAAAAATCACATTCCACATTAATTATCAGCAAATGTTTTCTAGTTGGGACTATAGTTAAATTACAAAGAAGATTTTTTGATGGCTAAACCCAAATATTCTTTTTCATCTTAGGTAATTTCTAAAGATATGGAAAAAAGATTAATGCTGCTGATATGGGGTTTTTGGGAAGAATTATGAAATTATGACCTCTCATACCTCAAACGAGGATGTATTAAAACAATCTAGTCATGAAAAGAAAAAATTACTACAAATAATGGCATGGAAGGAAGGAATGGAAAATCTAACAACTTCTGGAAAGATTGCAGGGAGAAGAGATTGCGGTCGACAACGACGAACATTCGTGAAGTCCTTGTATCACATTTCAACTGTTACAAAGTGTTAAAGATCGGGTTTTGTGGAGGTCGATGGTTGCTAGGATAAGGCACGAGAAAGAAGAAAAAAAACTAATCTTTAAATAATATTCATTTTTCAAGAAATATCTGCTTATTACTTATTATACTTAAGCCAAATTAATTAATCAACAACACGCTGATTATAAAAAACACCATCATTTATTATAGGCTTTATTTAAAAAATGCGGACACGTGGAATCTTCTTTAATCTATGTATATACAGATTCATTATTATAAACTTGGGAAGATGTGGATAGCAATCACCTTGGCAACCTTTGTATGATTTAGAGTCGTCCGTCATCTTTTATCATAGAAGTATTATAAATAAACTATATATATAAATGATTTACTCACACGCACATACGTAGGCATACAAACACACGTACACAATCACAGACATACACACACGCTATTCATTTGTTTTTCAAAACTGTGTTTCTGTGTAAGGAACTTTTTCCTCTTTTCTCAAAAATTTGAAATGAAAGTGAACCTGCTTTTGCAACTATTTTGAAATTAAATTTATTGTTTTTGATAAATATAGGCTGACTTCTTCGACTTGCACATGAAAAATAGCAAAAATAAAATGTAACTGACGGATGGGCTAGAAATAGGTTTTCAAAATTACACTGGACAGTTTCACCACCCTAAAAAACATCCAACGAATTCAGGTGTCTGTTGTGTGTATATCTGGAGAAACAAAATGACGTAAGGAGTGAAATAAACACGCAGAAAAAGTGGTACATTCCATTTAAGAGGTACTTGCAGTTAATCAGTTAATCAGAGGAAAGCTTATCTTTCTTCTTGTCTCACCTGCCTACTGTGGCTCACCTGAACCATAATGCACGCATGCATGCATGCATGCAGGCATTCACCAGCTTCTTCATCGCCTATGAATTTTTATTGTTATCATTCTTCTTCATTGTTATCCTAATTGTTATCACTATTATTATTGTTGCTGTAATCATCTTTATTACAGTCATTCGCGCTGTTAACTCTAACTGATAATGCGATAACAATATCACACCACAATTATTCAGTTTAAAGATGCAAACTACTTGATGGTCAGAAACATTAATTTTTACTAATCAGATGTTAATAAACCTCGGTTCGTTTCATGGTGAATAAAAACATTCCAATAGAAAAAAATTAGTTTTAATTACTAAAGTTTATCTTTCTAATCACTCAAAATTATTCAACGAATATAATTCTGCTATTGTCAAAATTTTTTGTAATTGCTTATTTCAATATATATCCTGAGTTTTTCTTTTTAATACCATTTTTTTCCATCCAAATAAACTTCCACAAAATAATGAAAATTAGAAAAATTATCTAATTAAGCGAAAAAGGAAGAGAAGAAAATAAAATCAATAAGACATCTGAAAGGGCAATCAGACAAAAGTTAATAACAATAAAACTTCCAACCTACCAACACGGAGGCCTTCTTAAGATCAAATTTTAAATCACTTTGCTGAGTCGACAGCCAAGGAAATTTTCTACTTAATGCAATTTACTTAATTTTTTCATATTACGTTATCAACTTTTTCATCTAATTCAGTCCGTACGGGCGCAAAATCACTTACATTTTTCTTTACTTGCTGCAAAATAAAAATTTGTATCGATAAACTTGAAGGTGCCAAGTGACGTACTCATCCATTGGATTTTCATCCCACATGTGGCTATGCAGGCAGCATTCGAACCAACACACCGTCACGTATTTTCCATTTGATAACACTAAGAGACATAGCGACCCTATCTTCTTAGCTACCTTCCTGAATTTCATTCATACAATTTTTTAAACCCACCGCAGTTATTTATTAATTATAAATTTCCTCCAAAACTGATGAGTATCAGCAAAAATTCGGTTGTACGACACCTTTTAGGTCAACAAACTCTTTATTTTGATTAATTTTGGGATGAAAAATGATAAACCAGTAACTATTTTTATTTGCAATTTACATCTTAAATATAAATAACGTATATAAACATAAACACACATAGACATGCTTAGCATTTACATTCTTATACACGCGAACACACAATGCTAAAAATGTTCATATAATTATAAAATAATTATCTGGCAAACAATTTGGTGTTTTTCACATGAATGTTTTGCACTCGACGTTGAATTTTCTTCATTATTTTCAACATTTTTGTTAGCATCACTTTGTTAGTCACCTCTGTGAATCATCAGCATCACCTTTCATCATTGTCGTGGTCACCTCGGAGATCCTCATCACCATCCTCATCATCTTCCTACGAACTTTTGTTATGAACGTTCATAAATCAACACCACACATACCTGCATCATTTTCATCACATCATCGCAATCATTTTTTAAAATGACCTCAAAGCATCCTTGCCACATTCACCTGAAGGACTAGCATCATTGTCAGCCGTTTGGTTTTGCAATGTCCTCAGTGCAAAACTTCATTTGATAATTACAAGCAAGTATGAAGCACACGACGATTAGAGCACGTGTCGAGTGTATTCTGATGTAAATTTAGGTTCTCTGTGTTTACAACTCTACGGTAATACTATACAGTACTATAGATTTATAAGCCGATGCAGGTATCTAAAGAGAGACACGCACACACGTGCTAGCTTACATGTTGTAACAACTACGTGGTGTTGAACGCGCGCACAATCGTAAAACTCAATGCGTAAATACAACGATACATTAAAACATATTTACATTTACATCCACCGATGCACATACACGCACAAAATCCATATAAACGAGATTACACAGAGCAAACACACTTCAAAATTAAATCCTACACACACACACACGCGTGCGCGCGCACACACAGTGATACAATTCATGTAAGTACGTAAGAGTTGAATGGAAACTAATGATTGAGCACTGCCGCCAGGTATGACCCGGACAACGATTTCATTTCTATAAATCTCCGTATGTAATTGGTGGATGTAATTAAATTATCATGTATGCAACGCTACATCCTTGCCACACGGCCAGTCCATTTTTCCAATGTTTAGTTTAGTTAAACATCATCTCTTCCACACCATCGGTTTTGTAGTTGGGTTAGAACTCTCAAAAGCGTCCATTTTTGAAATGATACTTGCACGTGCAATGCCTTTTACATATTTCCATTTTCATCGATTGTTTATTTTCAGCTCAAGCGCTAAACCATTCCTTTTCAAAATTTGAAAAAAATTCATCAAGTCAATTGAATGTATGCAAAGAAGTTTTAAAAATTGTTTCGGTAATGTCCAATCTAATGATTCTTTGCCAAGTTTTTTTAAATCAATTATTATTTTTTATGTAATATTTGGTTGACTGTTGTAAGTTCTCCTATATACGGTGTTGTCCCATGTGTTTAAACTAAATTGTAGTTAGCACCGTTAAAGTTATTTTTCGGCTAATAACTAATTTTATTTCAAACTTTTTTTTCTAAAACTGCAGGAAGAGTTGGAACAGGTTTTGGAAGAGGAGGAAACGGGCAAATTATTTTCCGCTGAAGAATCTAAACCGTTATCAAGAAGTTCTACGAAGTTTGGCTGGATTAAAGGAGTTTTGGTTACTAATACAAATATTTTCCTTCCAATATACTTTAAATCACTAATTCGTATTTTTTCGGGTTTTAATGATAGTTTTATTAAATTTGTTTTGCATTTTTAAAAAACATTTCGTAAGAGAAAAGTGTCAACTAAATTTAAACAAATGTCTTTTGAAGGTACGATGTGTCCTCAACATATTTGGAGTCATGTTGTTTCTCAGGTTGCTTGCTATCTTTTAGTATTTACGTTAACCTGCTCTATTAACAGCAGTGGTAACATAAATTCATCACAATGAACTCATTGAAAAAAATACGATTAAATAGAAATAGATGAATAAATTGAATAGGTTATCGTGGGTCGTTGGCCAGGCTGGTATAGGACTTGCTTCCGTAATTGTCTTGCTGGCCAGCACGGTGACCACATTGACCGCACTCTCCATGTCGGCCATCTGCACGAATGGTGAAGTCAGAGGAGGTTGATGAGTTGTTGGGTGATGGGGGTAGATTGCATTATTCCTGCTGGTGTGGTGTGTGTCTACGTGTTATATGCTCAGTGATTTAGGATTGCTGTAGTTGTTGTTGCGTTATTGATGTCTTGTGGTTTTTTTTATTATATAAGTATGTTTTTACTTTTTTTCTTTTATATTTAATTTAGCAATATTTATCGTTTCAGAATGATTCTATAAGTTGATTTACTCAAAAAAAATGTTACAGTTAATTAAATTATTCGCTCATTAAATGAAGTGATATTGAAAGTTAATTGAACGTCGTAGGTGGTGCCTACTACATGATTTCAAGAAGTTTGGGGCCAGAGTTCGGTGGAGCCATAGGAATAATCTTCTCAATAGCCAACGCCGTGGCAGCTGCCATGTACATTGTTGGATTCGCTGAAACTGTCGTTGTTATTTTAAAGGTCATACACATGAACTTGAGTGGAAGAATAAATTAATGCGTGCGTGTGTATATGTTTGTGTATACCTGCGTATTTTTGTGCGTGTATTTTTGTTTGCAAAAGCGCTTTAAATAAACAAAGCATTTTTTAAAGTGTACTGAGTGTTTCTCGATGAAAGTTAGTTTTAATCCACGAATCCTTGAAAATCGACAAATTGAAACAGAACAACAATTGCCTCATGGTGGACATGGTGAATGACGTCAGAATCATCGGCGTCATCACCGCATTCCTTATCCTAACCATCGCCCTGGCTGGCCTCAGTTGGGAAGCAAGGGTTGGTAGCAAATTTAACTGACTAACTTTCTGTTATGCTTTATTCATCCTTCTATAATTTATCAGCCATTTATTCCTTTATTGATAAAATTTTTTTACCAACCAACTTGAGTTTTATGAGTTTTTTTTGTTCATCATTAGCGTTGCTAGGGCTGACCGAGGCATCGTTTCTATTATCATCACGATTTCTGGTATCAAAGGCAATTTAATTTTAGGCATAAAAGGCTTCAATGAAAAATAATTATTTAATAACTGCAAGTTTTTAATTGATTGAACTAAGGCTCAGCTGATTCTGCTGGTGATACTGATGATCGCAATTTTGGACTGCATGATTGGAACGTTTATTCCTCCCTCCGAAGAGGACAAGGAAAAAGGATTTGTTGGATACAATGGTTTGTTTTGCATTTTCTATGGTTCAATTACTTTTTGATATTCTTTCTTGACTAGTTTTCAGAGGCAACAACTAGAAGTATACAGCCTATGTAAGTTAGATGTAAACCCATGTGTCATACACGCACATGTGATGAACGGATGTTTTGTTACATTCGCACTCAGTCGCTGCAACGTTGATGACAGGCACCTGAAGCATTACATTATCGCCTTGTCCGGAGATTTGAATATTTTGGTTTTAAAACTTCGTTATAATTTATTGTATTTAATTACCTCGACCTCACCTTGACCTCACCCCCACTGCTCAGTTCAGACATTTGTGGACAACTTCACTCCTGATTTCAGAGATGGGCACTCCTTCTTTTCAGTTTTTGGCATTTTCTTTCCTGCTGCCACTGGAATCCTAGCTGGAGCCAACATATCTGGAGACCTCAAAGCACGTTCAACGTTTTGGATTTTTTCATTTGAATTATCGTTAAATATTTTTATTTTTTAATTAAAATATTGTATTAATTCAATGCTGATAATTAATTTTCAAAATGTTTTCGTTGTTTTTTAATTGCTACGGCACATAATTTACACGTTTTACAAATTAACACCTTAGGAGTCATCATTTATATTACGTGAATGATTTTTGAATGGCGTGAATGATTTAAATGGAACTAAATCATAAAAAGAGGATGAATGATTGAAACATGAAGGACGCCCAAAAAGCCATCCCGAAGGGGACGTTGCTGGCCATCCTGATCACAACCATCGTTTACTTGATGCTGTGCTGGATGGTGGGTGCAACGAATGTTAGGGATGCCTTGGGACCACTCGCCAATGCATCGTCCGGTTTGGATTTCAATGAGTCCCTCACAACATTTCTTATGACAACCACGCTGTCATCATCATCACCACCGCCATTATTTTTTTCATCACCATCTTCACGTTTGATATCATCATTATCATCGTCGATGCTCGGTCTTGTAGAAACATCTGCGGACTCCACACACTCGTCAGTGTCCTCAACTGCCTCCCAGTTTGAAACAATATCTCCCGCACTATCAGGTTCGCACGATGAGTATCTATTTTTAAGATATAATCGTACACAATTAAATTAATGCACCAATGCTGAATTAGAAAATGGGCAAGTTCAGCTAACCAAAACGTTGATATCCTTTCAAACCGGGCAGGCCACGATTTTGGAACATTTATTAAGGAAGGCAGTTCAAAATCAATTGTCCATCTTGTCAGTAGATAGAACAATGTATTACTGGGAAAGTTATTTAATCCAGAAGAGTGTAACTAAAAATGTGTGCACTATTAAATGAATTAAAAACATCTGATACTTTCATTCTGCGCTAATTACTAAATAGTACAAATTCAGGAGGAAAGCGTTTTTCAATATTCACATCAAAATTAGTAAACACCAAAAATATTTTACGTCTTTCTCAAAAAAATGAATGTAGGATCAATTGTCTCTGAATATCAATTTATTTTTAATTTTGTTCTATTTATAAATTTTTTGTGCTTTTTGTACTTGAATCTCCATCAATCTAGTTAATTTTTACTCTGAGATTTATTCAAATATCCAAAACATCAACCAGTTATTTCCACGTTGAATCCTTTGATGACGTCATCGTCATTGTCTTCACCGTCATCGTCATCATCTTCATCTCTGGTTCAATGTCGCGTAGACGGCTGTAAACACGGCATACAAAATGACATGCAGGCTGGTTGTTGCTGTGTTATTTGTTTTGTGGTATTGTCAGCACATAACACAACGTTGTTAATATTGTTGCACTGTAAGGTACATCGCTAACACTTCTGTCATGTAATCTATCTTTGCATCACATTGCAGTTGTAACAGTTTAGGTATTTTTTATTAACTTCTATCATTTTATTTTATTTAAAATGTCCTAATTTGTGAAATGTTTAAAATATTGGATGTTTGAAATTGGACACGCCCACTTAGGTGATGCAGTTGATCTCGATGTTTGGACCGATCACGATCGCGGGAATCGTGTCGGCCACTCTGTCGTCCGCCCTCGCCAGCCTCGTTTCGGCTCCTCGAGTCTTCCAGGTTGCAATTTTGTTCAGCTGTGAACATTTTTTGTCGGCATTTGAATTGTGTAAAGATGGATGGATGTTTTATTTACTCCAATGATCAAGTGGTTGATGGAAGTCATCATTCGAAAACTTCTTTCAAAGTTAAACATCTCTAAAATAAATTTGGGTTATTTTATGTCATTTATCGTCCCGACGTTTTAAGTGTCATTAAAAATTGTAGGCAGTTTGCAAGGATCAAATCTTCCCCTACATCCACTTCTTCGGGAAGGGTTACGGAAAGAATGATGATCCACGAAGGAGTTATGGACTTGCGTTTGTTATCGGAATTGCTTGCATCTGCATCGGTTTGTTCACGGAATGATTTGTTTAAACAGGTGGCATTTTTATCAATTTGTTAGTTGTTTGGCTTGTTTATTGTAAAACCCTTGACAAACATTTCACAAAAATGTCCATGCCACTGCGTATGTCGATACGCACCACCACCGCGTACATGGTCCTAGAACAACAGCCGTCAAGTAGTGGGGCTAGCCGACAATTTCGACAGCAAACTGTTGCAACTCAACTTCAAAAGTCAAACTCAACAACCGTATACAAACACAGTGTTTGTTTGTGTTTGTGTGTGTGTGTGTTTGTAAAAGAGTGTGTACGCAACAAAGCACTCACACACATGTTCATCATGCAGGCGAGTTGAACGCCATTGCTCCTCTGATCTCAAATTTTTTCCTCATGTCGTACGCCCTTATCAACTATTCATGCGTCGATGCCTCGCTGGCCAAGTCGCCTGGTTCGTCTGCTGACTGTTCGCTGGATGGATGAGCGAGTTATTGATGTCAATCGAATGAAAATTGATGATTAGTTGTTCTATGTTTCTGTTTAATGTTAATCTAATTATGCTCATAGTGAGATTGTCTATTGAGTTTTCGAGAGTTTATCAGGTGAGTAGATGTTAGATGGTACATTTAAAATAAAAACCTTAAAAGACACAACACTATTGAACTGCCGCTTGGTGTGAGCGTGCGTAAAATTGTGCCCGCTAACATTAAGATGCACTGATGCTCGTCATCCACGAACGCCATGTTGGTTTGTCAAAATGTTGACAAGTGTTGATGCTGATAAACAATGAAGATGATGATAAAAGCAGACGATAATGAATGATTATGATGATGATGACGTTGATGATGATGATGGCGATGACGATGATGATGACGTTGACGAAGGTTGGCGACCTGCCTTCAAGTTTTATTCCATGTGGTTGAGTTTGTTGGGTGCCTTGTTGTGTGTGGCGGTCATGTTCATCATCAACTGGTCCACGGCGCTCATCACCATTGTTCTTGTGGCTATCTTGTACTTCTATGTCCACTACAGGAAACCCGGTACGTATTTGTCTTCTTGTGCGTGCGTGCGTGTGTGCGCGCGTAAGTGTGTGCGTGTGTTTAAGTGTGTAAATGTAGGTGTGAGTGTGTCTGTGTGTGTTTACTTGTGTGTGTTGTTGTTTGACTGTGTTAAGATTTTATGTTCTGTGTTTACTCCACTGTTTGTTATGAATCCGCTCAACGTTGAGGTTTTGTTTTTGTTCCTCGTGTGGTTTCTTGTCATCATTTTGTTTATATTACATTGTCTTTTATTTTCATAAAACAGTCATAAAAAACTGACATACACTAAATATCGCCGAATCTACTACAATCACAACATTCATTAGATAACATCTACTCACTTGCACAATCACACAAACAGATTAACACACTCGCACACACACACGGATACACACATGCACATACACTCGCATATACACTTGCACGTATACATAAACATACACACCTAGACACACACTTGTATGCACACATACACATACTTATTTGCACACACACATACACACTTGCACACACACGTACACGTACACACACATGACAGACATCAACTGGGGGTCCTCAGGGCAAGCACACGCGTACAGGAACGCCCTGCAACACACACAAAAACTCATGCAGGTCCTCGAACACGTCAAAAATTTTAGGTCAGGTTTACGACGATGATGATGATGATGATTACAATAATAATAATAATAACAACACTAGTAATAATAATTATTATAATAGAAAATTTTATATTTTTGTCTAAATTTACCTTACATAATAATAACAACAACAACAATAATAATAATAATAACAGACCTCAGGTGTTGGCCCTGACCTCCTTCCCCTCCGAACGACCTGCCCTCGTTGACTTCTGCACCAGCATGACCAAGAACATCAGTCTCATGGTCTGCGGACACGTCATCATTGTGAGGAATACCGCCGTCATTATTATTATTATTATTACTACTATTATTAATCACTTTTATTATTATTACTATTATTTTTTATTTTTATTATTATTATTACTGTTTTTTTTATCATTCTTATTATTATTACTATTATTAATCATTTTATTATTATTAATCAATTTATTATTATTACTATTATTTATTATTACTGTTATTTATTATTTTTGTATATCTTACGTTGTCCCAACGAAAATGAATGAACGAATAGGGCGATCCATCTCAGAAGCTGAAGGACGCCCAACTCTTGACTAAACTGGCCCACATGTACCTGACGAGGAAAAGGTCCAAGTCCTTCTACACCGCCATCTGCGCTCCCTCTCTGAGATTGGGGGTTCAATCTCTTCTGCAGGTAACTTCTGGAGATGGTGATGATGATAGCGGTCGTGGTGGTGGTGGTGATGACGATGATGGTGGTGGTAGGTAAGGATGATGATGGTGGTGGTAAAGATGATGATGATGATGGTGACGATGATGATGGTGGTGGAGGTGATGATGATGGTGGTAGTGACGATGATAACTGCGACTATTATGATGACGACGATGATGTTGTTAATGGTGACGATGTTGTTAACATAATTGAATAACACTTCTAATTTGAAGATCTGAAGTAATAAAGAATTGATGATGATATAATATTAGTAATGACAATACGGACAATAATGGGAAGACAGAGACTCCTATGATGATAGTTCATCATTCATAAGTTATAAAGTTGTCTGCAACCTTTAATGAGGACTGTTGCGATAATTCAGAGTGTTGGCGTTGGAAAGCTGAGACCGAACACATTGATCATGGGTTTCAAATCGGACTGGCTCACATCGGACGTCAAGGAAGTTGAAGATTTTTGCAACATCATACAGTTTGTCTCTTCTATAGAATTTCATTTTAAAAACTTTTATACGGGAATTTTGTGCTAAACTGGCGAATAACATGCAATGTCGGAATGTGAGTAAGACTAGTAGGGTGACGTGTTTCACTGACACATAACATCACCTTCATCTTCATCTTGCTTTTATTCACCATCAAATGTCATTCAAAAACTTTCAAGTCACAGACAGCCCTTCAAGGATTTGGTTGTTTTGATTAATTTTGTTGTCAACTTTTTCCTGTCGTTTCGGTTTGAATGTTTCGCAACGACTTCATTGAATTAACACAGCGACGCATTCGACTTGAAGCACAGCGTTGGAGTGTTGAGACTGGCTGAAGGTCTGCAGCTGAAGACGGTCGTCGGAGATGCTGAAGGTAGTCTGCAGGCATGCAGTGGCGGATCTTGACAACTTTGGCAGGGGTCTAAACTTTGACAATTTTTCAGCGTTAACGGCCCCCTCTCCCTACATCCGCCACTCCATGCCTGTTCTCTTTCATTTCGTTCATTTTTTCCTTTAATAATTTTAATAATAATTAATAATCCTTTAATGTTGCATCATTTTGCAATGATATTTCTTGTTGGTTATAGTTGACGCGTAGTTTGTGCATATTTGTTGCATGAATATCTTGCTAACATGTTGTGGGATATGTTGATGTCGGGTGTGCTTACGCGTCGTTAACCAATCAAAATTTGTTTGTCCTTTCAGTTACATCAAGTGTGTTTACTTCCAGTTAAGCGTGTTGTTTAGCTTGAAATCTGGTCAAAATATTGCAAAAGTCTAATTTTATTCACACGATTTAAAAAAATAATTTTACTAAAACTTGAATAGTCTCACTTGTTATTTTCAATTTTTATAAAAATAGGAACGCTTTTTGTGTATAATTGTGAATATTAAAATTGTTAAACCGTAAAAACATTTTTGAAAAATTTTCTTATTTATCACACTCATCTCAAATAACTCACACACACGCACACACGCACACACAAAACAACACACACCAAACAACACACCAAACAACACACCAAACAACACACACACACAAAACAACAAACACACACACCAAACATCACACAAAACAACACAACACGCACAAAACAACAAACACACACACCAAACAACACACACAAAACAACACACAAAGGTCTAGCAAAGGCGGTCCTGCACATGCAGACCATGTTTGGCACAACTGAACTCAGTCCGGTCAATGAACTCAAATCCTTTCCTGTGTCCGTGTCACAAATGACCAGCATCACTGAAGTCATGGGTTGGTAGAATTTTTGGATGGGTGGATGGATGTATAGTTGGATGGATGCTTGGGTAGATGGAAGTACAGGTGAATGGATGGCTGGATGAATGAATATATTTTCGTGATTTTTGCTCCTATATGTATTTACCCATTTAATAAAATTGTTTTGGAACATGACGGAAAGAAATTCTAAGAAAAAAATTATATTGCATGTTGAAAAAATTATCCAAGATAATATTTTCGATTCACACGAATTTTATAAAAATTAAAAATTATTGGTCATCAACGAGTTAGCCATCCTCAACGAGTATTTAGATTTGTAAATGAGAAGAATAACACCTGCTGACATGTGTTTATTAACGATGGCAGCGATGATGAAGATGACGATGAAGAGGATAATGATGATGATGCACTTTACATGAACTTTTTCTAGCCAGTCCAGCCCAAGAGATGAACAAATTGTTGGAAGACACAACAATGGTACTCGCAACATCGGCAGCCACATCAGCCTCAACAACCGTCCCAGAAGCAACAGAAGCAACGACATCGGAAAGGAAAAACTTCAACAACACGACACCAACAGCAACATCAACTGCAGCTACTGCAGCTACTGCAACAACTACAGCCTCCTGTGACAACGGTTTGATGACGAACGCGGCTACAACGACCACCATCAACACTTTGAAGGGCTCCGATGATAATTACGAGGGTGGTGATGAAGACGAGGAACCATGCAGCAGCAGTCAGTTGCGGGCTGATCGCAACCTCATCAAGAAAGTCACAGAAACAGCTGGTCTCAGCAGGTTTTCGCACAAGCAGAAGGGGTTCATTGACGTCTGGTGGCTCTTTGACGATGGTGGTTAGTCACGTGTTAATTTTGTTTGATGGTTATTGTGATGGAAAGAATGGCGATGGTGGTTATTAATTTCTACATGTAGATGACAGTGATGATGGTGATGATTATTATGGTGATAATGAGAAAAATTCTGGATACACTTCATTCTGGCGTGTGACAGTGACGATGATGTTGTAAGCGATGCATGGGGGTAAGATGACGGTTGTGCGTGTGAGCGATCCAACACAATCCAGCAATGATTAACTCGTATGCTGGTGTTTTAGTGGTGCTGATCGTATTGACGGAGGTTGTTGTGTGTCTTAAACAACTGATTCTATTATATGTGTATTTATATATACATATGTGTGTGTTTATGCTGTGCTTGCGTGTGCGTGTGTGTGTGTGTGTGCATGTTTACGTCTGCATGTGAATGTGTGTTAATGATCAAAAACATCACCATTATTTTTTTAAACTAAAAAAGGTAATAAAGTAATAGATAATTATTAATATATCAAGGTCAAAGTTTTAATATAGGAAAAACATTTTCGTGCATTAAAACTAGGCAACAATGATATGTTGAATGTTCATCATAAGCGCAAACAAAAACCTTCTTACTGCTTTTTACTTTCTTCCGTTCACGAATTTGTTTGCACTCAAATTTCAAAAAAAAACTGATGTGGGGTGAGAATAACAATCTTAAGGACGTAACATGTATGAGTTGAAATGTTCATCCTCATCAGAGTGTCTGAGTTGAGCAAAACATTTGATCGTGTGAATGAAATGAAACAAACACCAGGAGGAAAGTGACCGGCCATCAACCTTTCAAGCAAATCCCAGCAAACACCACCAACCATCAATCTTTCAAGCAAATCCCAGCAAACACAAAACAACCCAACACAGGCATGACTCTCTTGATGCCCCACTTAATGACCACGAAGAAGCTGTGGAGCCACTGCAAGTTGCGGATCTACATGGCAGGCACCAAGAAGGAGGCGTTGGACCATGATCAGAGACAGTTCGTTCCTTCTCTTCTACTGCTTTCTTAATTCCAAACTTCAATCACCTTTTTCAACTTATTTTTGTTGTTTATAGCTTATTATGGTAGACTTTTTAATAAACGTTTTCTTGACCGCTAACTTAATGAACAGATAATGAAATAAAAATTCAACAGTTGCAAATTTTTTATTTAGCAACGGATTGTATGTAGATGTTTAAATTTGCATTTATGAATTACTCTCGCAAAGTTTTTCAAATTTGTTGACCAAAGTTTAGCTTCCCTACTGCACAAATTCCGCATCAAGTATTCATCCATGCATGTCGTCATGGATATTGGGAAGAGACCGTCTGCTGGAAAGTTTGTTCATACCATATATCAATTCATCCGTTAAATTATCCACCAATTCACTTATCAATTAATTCATCCATCAGATCAACTATCAATTCATCCATCGATTAAATCAACAGTTCATTCATCTTTCACATCCATGCATCCATTCATACCTGTGGTTCATCTCGATTTTATGGTCAATTTGAAAAAACGTAAAAAAAAACACACTTACATTTTAGAAATCTGAACATATTAAATTGTTCACTCGAACTTTTATGTTTTGAAATATATATATATATATATAAGATATATATATATATATATATATATATATACATGTGTGTTTGTGTGTGTGTGTGCGTGTGTGTTTGTACATTGTACATAAAAGAGAGTTGGCATTACACATGATAAGTTATTTGTAAGAATTATTTAGCTATACAGTTGGCAACTACACAACCAACACCATCATCATGAGCGACATAGGACAAACACTAAACCACACTTACCACAATTTACCACAACTTACCACAACTTACCACACTTACCACAACTTACCACAACTTACCACACTTACCACACTTACCATAACTTACCGCAATATTAGAATGGAAATGTTTATGGACATGTTGAATGATTGGAGACTGAAGGAGGGGGAAACAACGGAAGAGTTTCCCTGGAAGATAACTGATTCCGAACTTTCGACATTCAGAAATAAAGTAGAGTTGTTTGGAGATTTGTTTAATCATCATTTACTGATCATCATTCTTCTTGTTTGTTTGTTTATTTTTAATTAGCGATACAATAACAGCAAACGTTGCAGTAAAGAAATAAGGATTTAACGTTCTGAATTGAAGTTTTTATTTAACGAGAAAACAATATAAACCTAAAAACAAAAACAACATAACGGGCAACAAGTCATATACATATACAAGTAATATACAACAGCCACATAAAAACATTGTGGCTGCACCACACGTTACCACACCACACAGACCTACACTACACCACTACACAACCCACTACACAGACCTACAGGCAGTTGAGGTTGAGAGAACTTTTGGAAGAACATTCGCACGATGCTACTTTTATTGCCATGTTTGTTTGTTTGTTCGTTTGTTTTTTTTATACATATTTATATATTTATTTATATATCTAATTAGTTTATATTGTTCGTTTAACTTGTTCAGTGAATTTCTTTTTCAGGTTTCACAAATTGTATATATAGTTTTTTAGATACATTTATATTTAAAGAATAATTGAATTAAACCAACAAAGGACTCTACCAATGCCAAAGAAAGGATTGTGTTCTACAGGGTTATACATGGCTTGGCTGGATGTCCTTTCACGCTCCATGCCTCCCATGCTACTTATCAGAGGAAACCAAGAGAACGTCCTTACCTTCTACTCCTAGATCAATCAATCAATCTTGCAGTCAATCAATCAAACAATCAATCAATCAAACAATCTTACAGCCAATCAATTTTCCAGTCAATCAATCTTTCAATCAATCTTTCAATCAATCTATCTATCAATCAATCTATCAATCTTTCTTTCTATCTACCTATCTATTAATCAATCAATCAATCAAACAACAGACAAACAATCTTGTCAGTCAGTCTGTCAGTCATTCTTTTATTAGTTTTTTTTGCAAATATTCTCATCGCATCGATTTCATTTTATTTATCTTTCTGTTTTAATGTTCTCATTTTAGATGTGTTATTAAACATGGCTTGTTTAGGCTGTTTTGGACGTTACTTTATAAATATACAAATACATGAAGATTGGTGTGTGCGTGAATGTGTGTTTGCGTCTGTGTGTATTTATATGTGCGTGCGTGCGTGCGTGCGTGCACTTGCAAATAAAGTTCAAGCGCTAATTTTTATAGAAAAAAATATTACAAAGTTTATATTATGTACTTACTGTTACATTTATATGTGTTATGATTAGGTTTAATGTTTAATTCGCGATAATTAATATTTTTGTTCAGTTAAGATTGTCGGCATAAATGAGAGTAGTTGATAAAATTTTGCATATGGAATAAGATGAATAGTTATATTGAATATTATATGAATAATTTGTAACACTTAAACGTTTTTCAGTGATAATATATAGCCCAGGTTAATTATCTACTGTTTTAAATGACCAAATCTAAGAAGTTCATCATTCTTAAGATCAACTTTTAATTGAGTATCTGGCTTTATGCATGATACAAACATATCATACCATCTATGGATAACCTTTTTCGTACCATACTAAACTGTATAATACATAGCTACATGTACCGCCCTACCTTCAGTGAAGTGACGTGCATCCTGTTGCGTGGTTATCTTACTCTTACTGATTTGAATATTTTTTTAAATTTTTTAACCAGTCCATAGAAGAGCGATCTCTGGATATAACTAGTTAATCTAGTCATTTAACGTTTTTATCGAGTTGTATTTAACAAATTGATGTTTAGTTATTTTTTATTTGTTTATTTTTGTAATATCTGTTGAACATTTTAGTTAACTGATAATGATTTTTTGAAGGATTTGTTAACATTTTCTAATGACATTTACACACAAAGAAATCTAAATTTGCAGAATGTTTCAGCCAACAATATGGTTTGTTTTATTTTGTATCTTGGCAAGGATTAAGACGTAGGCGAGGTAGAACTTATGTGATTAAATTCACAACTTAATTAACATGGCAGTGAAGTGGAAGTGCTTGTGAGATTGTTGTCATGGCTTTGAATTTGAAGTGGTAAGTATTGTAGTGTAAAAGTTATTTATATACACGTGTTTACACTATGTATATATATTCATAGTACTCATACATATCCATGTATATAGTACACATATATAAGTATATGTATTTATATCTACCTGTCTATCTGTTTACTGAGATATTATATATTTTTTGTTTGTTTAGTGCTTCAGTTGAACTTTTATTAAGTTAGTTTCTATTTTTGTATGTCAATTAAAAGCTTGGAAATACAAAATTATGCAAATGAAACGTTTTACGAAAAGTATTGAGGTCAGAATTTTATTTTTTATGGCTGCTTTATGAATGGTGGTTAAATTTGCTTGGAAATACAAAATTATGCAAACGTCCCACTCTTGTCTGATTGAAAAAATGTTTACTTTGTCACATTGCTACATCGATCAGGTCAGGGGCAGGCGTGTTTTTGGAGCCTGGAAAATACCTGCTAATTTTTGTTAGAAAAAACTAATACAGGGCAAACCACGAGAAAGCACCTGCCATCAAATATTTGAGACCCCAACGAGCACAAGGGGGTCCGCAAAACTGACACAGACCCAATAATACATCTCCTCGCTTCTTGGTGTTGACAACTAATAATTTTTCAACTAAATTTACAATTTAATTCTTCTAATTATAATATTTTTTATAGGAAATTTAATTTTTCTTTCAAAATTTTTACGAGCGTTATTTGAAACTTCTCATATTTGGTGATTCTTGAGGCGAGACGAGAGTTTAATAAGTTTCCAACGTACAAAGGGCTTCAGTGTTATTCCATCACTTGATCATCCAGTCAACATCCATCCACGATTTATAACTTGCATCAGATAACATGGCCTTTCAAACAAGTGGTTTCTTATCACGCAGATTTGTTATGAAATTTTTATTAAATGATTATACATGCGTGTGTTATCGGTTAAATATTCAGCAATATATTTATAGCATTGGTTGTTTTTGAAGGAGATAATTTTTGCTGCACGTTTTTAATGCATGTTCTTCATCATTTCGGTTAATCATTTAGATGTTGTGTTACAGCTTTCGTCATATTACTAACATGTCGTCTTGAATATGTAGCCGTAACTTTTATTTAATGCTCTTTAAATGTTCCAGAAAATGAACTAAACCATTATGCTGCTTAAAATTTTGTATATTACATTATTGTAGTTAACGGTTTTGATTTGAAAAAAAATTAAATATGAAATAAAAACATCTTTGTCCAACATGCTCATTCAAAGATGTATGGTAAGTGTGATGTGCTTGTGTGTGTGTGTGTGTGTGTGTGTGTGTGTGTGTGTGTGTGGCGTGTATTTTGACGTGTGGTGTGTGGATGTGTGTTATTAATATTCAGCAGATCTGCATGTCGTGTTGACCAACTGAGACTGAGGCAACCTGTCCTCCAGCGGCATCATTCCTTTCAAGGACTTGCTAACCTTTGAGTCATACGGTCATATCTTGTCAATGAGCTAATTTTTTTATTAGTTAAGACAAAATGAAAAGTTTTTAGTTTTCTTTAATATCTTTCTACGTTACATTTTATTTGATAATGTATCAATGTTGTGAAATATGCGACGAAATGTGTTACAACTTGAGGCAGATATCGATCATGAGATTTAAAAAATCATTGAAATTCATCAAACACATTTTAACAAAAACTTATCAAAACATTAAAACTAACCCTCTCTACGTCCTGGAAAACGCGCAAGAAATTTTGACCAATCAACTTTTCGAGCATGGTGACCGTCCACTCCCTGTTGACGTAGAGATACTTCAGCAGGTCAGGAAACTTTGAGACGTCCTCCAATCCCACTGGCAGACTGTCATTCAACAATTTAAAGACTGCTGAATTCTTTATGAATGTGTTAATAATGTTTTGACGCTGTTTTGACGTGACAATGACTGAGTGAATAAATGACCTCCAAGCTGTAAAAGTGTGTCGTTATTAAACAAACATTACGATTCTATTCAAAAACTTTCAAAATTTTTTTGGCTTTATTGAAAACAGGGTGGCGTATTATCTTTTATGTTTTTGAATGACAGATTCAGAGCATAAAAATTTTAATAAAAACTTCTTTCATACAACTTTTAATTTTTCATTGAAATGCTTATGTCCTCAAATCAATGATTGAAAACAAATCCGGGAGGCTTTAACCCTTGACACAATTGTTGCGAATTTTCCAAATACATCGTCAATATATTTACAACACGAGTTGTCTTTTAAATAGAGAATTTTTTATGCATGTCGTTTTAACGGTTAATAACGACAAAATTAATTGGCCATTAATAAAAGTAAAAAATTCCTGGATGTTCACTTTTGACGAGTTAGCTCAGATGGTAAAAGTACCACGTCCTGCGTTGCTGTTTTGCTTGCGAAAAAACCATCTGCAAAAAACTCACAGAACTCTATGTGAGCTTAATACGGGGCTTTTCTGTATTACGTATGATTTTCACTTAGCAATAATAATCCAACAGTGAAATGCGTTGCTTCAAAACATCAATCCTAATGATGTGTGTATCTAACGAGAATGTTATTATGAAAAAGATGTTCGAACCTGGGCGTGCCATCGTAATCCGAACCAATGCCAACGTGGTCTATTCCGATCAGCTTGTATATGTACTCGAGGTGGTCTTGCAAGTTAAGAAATAAAGGATTGTTGTTTAATAGGTTTTCAAAGGTTACTTCATAATTTGATGACAATGATGAATGCTCTAATGAGGTTTATAGAATGATGGTAGATAGATGGAGGACAGAGGCATAGGCAAGGTATTTTTCGCCCAGGGACAAACTATAAAATTGGCGAGCCCTATCCATGTTTAATCCCATTTTTTATTACATTAACATTGTCAAAATTACTGTTTGTCAAAATTTATCACGAAATTTATTATTAATACTTCATATTTTTGATTTTTATCGTTCATTTTGACATGTAAAGTTTTTTGCTAAATAAAAAATTTTCTTCGTTATTTTGCTTGCGATAAGATTTTTACTCTTGTTGTGAAAGTTTTGTCAGCCTCATTTTTGCGCCCCCTGCACTTGGTCCCCGGGGACATATGTACCCGCGCCCCTATCTACGCCTCTGATTGATGATTAATAAATTAATAGTAAATCGTGAAAAAATTATTCGTGAATGTTGAAGTACGTAAAATATGAAAACTAATTGACCAATTAAATTTTAACATCAATGTGGACATAATTAAAATTGAAAATTTATATGCTCTAAAACTTAAAGAGCTACCAGCCACGCTCGATATTGATGCTTCTCCAGAAACATCGAGGAAAGAACTCGGGAAGGTTATCATTATGAGACCTTTGTTCTTTTTCTAGTCATAAAAATAAATTTCATTGATTAATTAGTCGATAAATAAGCCATTAAAGTCGTTTCAAATTAAAAAAAGTTTACGGACAATCTATATTCGACGCGCATGTTAAATTTGAATTAATTTAAAAACTTGAGAACTAGCCAGCAAGAGTAGAACATCGTCTTGAACGTTCCTGGTGTGAGGAGCAAGTTTGTAGCTGTTTGAATGGCTGAAGATGACAGGAGCCACGGAAGTCGCGAGGACATCCACCATGGCTGCCTTCGAAACGTGTGACATGTCAACTATCATTCCTAGGCGATTCATCTCACGGATTATATCCTGTGCGATGTTACATTGTACAAACATGCAACACAACCGCAAATGTATTAACATGTACTAAAGTTGCACACGAGCAGGTGATTATTTCTGAGTGACTTTTAGAAAGCGCATGCGTGTTGATGCGTAGGCACGTTTGAGTTTGTGTAAAAATGAACAGCAGATGAGAGAACCTTTCCAAACTGCGTCAGTCCTGCAACGTTGGTGGCATTGCGGTCTCGCAAATTGTTCGTCACCCTGCAACAACATTCGTTTCTCTTTTCAAATTGTTTTTAATTTTAAATTAATAAATTTTAAATTAACTAATTCATTAAAAATATTTTCAACAAATGTTTCTATAAACACTTATTGAACAAATATTGTAGATTGTCAACTGACCAGGGAGTGTCACAGTTGTGTGTCAAGGTCATATACCTGGTGCCCAGCTGGTACAACATTCGCAAAACTGACAGACTGCTGTCCAAACAATGACCACCCTCCACTCCTAGTAAGCTGCTAATTTTTCCTTTCTTGAACGTTTCTGTGATTTCTACGTTTTCATTATTTCATTTTTTTATGGTTCCTAATTAGCTATCCAAACAAACATTAACAAACAAACATTCGTTACGTAACATTCAAATGTCAAATGGCGTTTATTCTTCAAGACGAGCGCGTGCAAATGCATATTGTCATCCTAGTGGTAACATTAGTCGTCACTGAGTTCGCAAAGGTAAACCATCAAACTTTACAAAAATAATAGCCTACCATATGACAAACCTTGGCTTGAGTAGGCCATCTGCAGTTCGTTGGGGTATTTGTAAACGAAACGTTGAATGGTGTCCAGGTGCTCCAAGCAGGCTCTCACTGCATCCCTGTACTGCGTTGAACAACCAGCATACACCGCCCAAATCTGATGTTTTGTGTTTGTGTCCATTCATTTAAAGATGGAATCGGTAATTCAGTAGATGTTTGAAACGCTTACAAATCTGGTAAAAAAGTTGCAGTATGTTGAATGAGGAGAGTAAAAGTACACACTTATCTGACTTTATTAAAATCTTAATATGATGTAGGCTGCGTAAAAACCTAGCATGTCACATTATCTGATTGCTGGTTGGTCAACTAATGCATTGAAACCGAAAAACAAACGTTGACATAGCACGGAATGTTCACTTGTACCGCCAACTCTCAGCGAAGAAGATGGCAAAACTACAAAATTTAATTACAAAGTACGTCTTATAAAAAACAGTTTTTAATAACTTATATCTTATTTTAGCAAATTAGTATATGATTTGTCTAAACAATTTTATTTGTTAACAAAAATTTTTATGAGGACTTGACAGAAAATTTTGTTCTATTGGTTCCGAAAATAATAGGGACTTCCGATCATTTTCTGCACCAGTGTCCTCATACTTCGAAATTCAACCCTATGTTTGTTTGACAACCGACTACAACAAAAATGCAAATTTTTTTGATTTTTAAAATTTTTGCCTTAAATTAAAATTTTACCAAAAATTTTTAAATTTCAATCAATATTTTTGGCCTAACTTGTCGTACGTATGTAAATTTCAACAATAATTAAGTTCACTTGATATAATGAAAAAGTTATTTTATTATTTTCCTAAATTGCCATCCTATGTAAGTAAATTTTAATATTTTTAATTTTGTCCGCTAAAAACAGCGTATTCAAATCATTTATCTGGTCAAGTTGACCTAGTTTCTAAATTAATAACAATTTTTTTGAGTTAGATCCCATCAAAAAAGTATACATTCATAATTTTTACAAATCGAAATTTGTTTTTAAACTTTATTAGCTGCTTTAAATTGCTGTGAATGTAATTCACGTTCGGAGTAGAAATTTATTCAATAGAGTGTTCGACTGAGTTTGTTATATATGTGGTCTAATTTGAAGCAAGTGAAGCCCATCTGCTTGTCTCTAGGTCAACTCGTGACTGAACTTTTCTTCAAGCGGAAAAACGAACGTCTGATTTAGTTACGCTACAAAGCTAATTTATCAATTCGGTGGCTTCAATACTGAAAATTTTTCAAACTTTTGTGGCAAATTTATTGTCAGAAAAACATATACCGAAAATGAAAGTTAGTTCAGTTGCTAAATGCTATTAAACTTATTAGTTTCAACTATGTGGCAACAATCTTTTCCAGTTTGATGTCTTCCTAAAATTGTTATTGCTGTCAAAAACTAATTTGTATTCTGATATGGGAAGAAATTTAAAAAAAAACCTGAGCTCCGACACCACCCTGCTTCATTCTTTTGATGTCAGTGTGAACTTCGGTCCAATTTTGCAAGTCGAGGTCGTTAATTTTGTTCTTCTTACGCGCAAATATCTGGTGAGCCAAATCATTGTGGCTGAATTGGATTGGAGAAGGTGTTAAATTCATCACTGATTTGTGAACGGTCACGAAGTAAACGATTGAATGAACAAATAAAATAACTAATCTGTCAAGTCGAATAATATTAAAAATCTAGTTGAAGTTTATTAAAACCAACCCGTCAATAAGTGGAACACGTTTAAGCAGGTCGCCTATTACCTGGTCCGCATCATTTGAGGAAATAATAGCTGCAGCTGCAGGTGACATGGAAAGCACTGCCATCAAAATTAATAGATGCATATTCAAATTGTTTTGGTAAAACGTTTCAACAAAAGTAATTTCGAAGTAATTTTAATGAAGTGAACGCAATTTCTTCAGATCGGACTTTAGTTTGAGGCAGCTATTGGTTTAGCGTATATATGAAATATATTATATATATTTTAAATATATTATATATTGCCAAGGTTTTGTTTGCTATTTATAAGTAGAGATAAAATGTTCGATTTAAATAAGCACAACAAAGTTATCATTATCAGTCAACTACCTAGAGGATATCAATTTGAATTGAATGTAATTGTTTTAAAGATATGTATTTATAATCATGAACAATTGTCCAAGCGATAAAGATTAAAAAAATAATTAAAAAATGCAATGAATTTATGTCAAATGTCTGATAACAACGTTTTAAAGCCAATTAATAATTAAATTATTTCCCATTCAACATCCATAGAACCAGCAAAACGAAATGAAATAAAAATTCCCAATCTGTCATTTTAAATTTTGTTGATGGCAACATGTTGAAACACACTATTCACAGTCTTTTGTCTTACTTCTTCGTTTGCCTAGTTGTTGCCATTTTGTTGAAAACTTTTGCGATTTTATTGGTTATATTATTGAAATTTCTGAGAATTTTAATGAAATGACATTATTTGCATTGTTAGATGATTTTTTATTATGTTGATCGGTTAAAAGTGTTTGTCTTGCTGTTCTTTTGCTCTCGGAGTTTCTCCTGATAATTCAAGTCAAGACCAACAACTCTCAACATTGCTGGATGCTGGGTTTTAAAAAAATTAATTTATAAATTAGTTTATTAAATTGATGTGATGTTATTATTGTTAACTTTTATCAGTCGTAACTTATTTAAGCGTGTTTAATAAAAATTAGAGACCATTTTCTGATCAATACTAGCTTAGTTTAAGAACTATATTAGCAAGGTGAGTGACTTTTCTTTGGCAGTTTGGCCATGTTGCTTTAGTTTCTTAGTTATGGGAGGGTCCGTGTGTATTTGTGTGTGTGTGTTATATGGTATTGTATTTTATTCTCAACTTAATAAAGATTTTCTATTCTTAAGAACGCTTGCTTAATAGCTTAAGTTAAGCTTAGTTTTAAAACACAATACTACGGGGTGTGAGTCTTACACTTACTTACAGACACTTACGCTTACCACAAATAGCTAATTATACTGAATTGTTTGATTTTTCTATTGTATTCACTATTCATTCATGATGTAACGATAAAGTTCGTTGATTATTTTCATCTCTTAGAATGTAATATTTTAATAATAGTTTGAGTTAAATAAAATTATTAAATTCTATTGTATTATATTTTTTGGTATATTTTGTTTATGTTTGATTATGTTATATAATTTTTATATTATTAATTTACTTTTATTTTTTTTAAGAATTTATAGTTGAAACTTTTGATATCTTTTTGTTTTAATAATAATATTATATGGTGGTACTTCCTATAAACGACTTTGGAAATGTCATAGAAATCAGGTCTTAAAAGGGAAAGATCTTAAACAGGAAGTAAGCATATATAGAGTGACACTTAATGTGAAAACAATTCGTCAGAAACTAAATAATCGGAATGTGAAAGGGTCGCAAATGGGGAGGTCGTTAGGGAGAAATATTACTGAACCAATAAGAATAAAAGGTGACAAACCAAAGTATTATGAGATATATTTTACTAGAAACTTGGTAAATTTAATTTAATTTTAGTAAATATTGAGTTTTTAGAAAAATTATATCGATGCTTTGTAAAAAATTTTTAATGATATTTTACTTTCTCGACTACTTAACTTATTAATAAGCTTATGTCACGAAATGTTGTTCACTTTTAACGTGAGTTCATTTGCATACAACATGCATACAATTAATTTATTTTACATACATACAAAACAAAGCAATATTTTTTCATACACTTATGTAAAAGACTGGTAAAAACAAATAGATATGTCTCCAGCCATTAAAAGAAAATGTTATTTTTCTGAAAAGTAATGTTGTGGAAAGTTTTGACACTGAAGCAGAAAATCTCTGAGACTATCCTGGTTTGGTGTTGTCATAAAGCGGATTTCTTCGTGTCGCCAGGTAAGAAAAAGGATCAAGGAAGTAGATTTCAAGAATAAATATTTTTTTGTTGTGTCATATAGTTAGATGACAGAAATACTTGAAATTCAAAAAGATTAATTTTTGAAGAGTAGTCAGTAATAATGGTTTGCTTAATTAAGTAATTAGGAGGCATTAGAATATATTATAAGATCAAATGGTCTGTCTTCTGACATGTGTAAAACTTTTTCTAATGTTTGTAGAGTTATTTCATGGCTTTATTTAGATCTGAAGTTTAATTTTTCAGTTTTATCAACCATCTGTCAAATTTTTGTTCTCTGAGTTAAATGCTACTTACTTTTTTGTTCATTTCATTAGCTTAAAATGTTGATAAATAATTAATCTTAACTCAAGTTTATTTATTTCTTGTGTATGATAAATTATAAAACAGTTGATACATGGATGCTACTCCACTATCTGGACAGTTGTGTCTTGTTTATTTATTTTTTTAACATCACCTTGTTGAAATCAATAAACTTTGCTCTGACTTGTATGCCTTTCTTTGTTTTTCTGTTTTTAGTATGATCTGAAATAAATGTATGTTGAGGGGATGCAACAGATTTGAATTATGTGGCAAGTGTTTCTTGGATGTAATTATTAAGTTCTGGTGTTGCTTAAACATTTGTGATAAGTCACCAATGTCATCGCTAATTTAGTATCTCTCCCTTATCTATGCCATGCTCTTTATGTTTTTGACTTTGATTGCATGATATATCTATTTGTTTTCATTGTTATCAAATCCATAATTTCAAAAGAATTCCTTATATATAGTGCTAGTCAATAGTTATTGAGAAGGGCCTGGTAAAATATTACCAGCATACATTTTATTAGTTCGCAGAATGCCACATTTCACTGTCGAAGTTTCTTGATTTGAAGACTCATCATAATTTTCACTTTGTGATTCATCAATTATGAATTTTTTTCACTATAATATATTTTCTGCCTATCCATGTTTAAAGAATTTTTCAAATATACTGACTTCATAGATGAACTTTCTGGAACTGTTAGTTTTTATTTGGGAAGACAAGTGTGAGTTCACGAGAGATTTATTAAGGAGCCATTAATTTTGCGCAAATCCATTTTCTTTTAGATTACATAGAGTTAATAGAAATAATAATTTTTAAGATTGAATATGTTAACTTAACTTTACAGTGGTTTTGGTATTTTTTCATTACAAGGGAATAAGCTTATTCCTTTCTTTCGCTACCTCTAATTCATGCTTGTAATAAATGACAGGTATTAAATGTGAATGCAGTCTATGTATTTGTGTTTGTTTCAATTATTTCAAATTTTATCTATTATTTGATAACAAATAATTTATTATTTATTCTATCTAGATTCTACTGACTTGGATATTTTAAAGCTGTGCCTATGCTTTCTCTCTAAAGTTGTGGATATATTCATATATATATATATTTAGTCATCAGCCATCGGTTTGTTGTATTGAAAAATTATTTTTTTGAAAATATTCTCAATCTCAGGGATAAATATGGATAACAATAATCTTATAATGAAAGGTGAGAGGAGAAGTTTTTATGCTTTTTGATTTGTTTATTGATAAAATTAACCTATACATTCAGTTAGTTATTGGGCGACTTGGTGTATTTTCAGAAATAAATATATGTTACAATCGCTAGATGGCGAAAGCGTTTTAATACATTTTAAAAGCCACAGTGCACATAACAGATTTGCTTGCTACATACAGTAGTTTAAATTTTACGATTTCATTCACTAGGTGCTGCAGTCTTTAGTGTTTTCCTATTTGTACGGCTTGCTGTCTCATGTTTTTCAGTTAATATAAATTTGAAAAAATTCAGTAATGATTAAATATCTAATAAACTTATTTGCATTGATTAAAATTTTTCCCTGTGCTATAATTAATTTAAAATTTGCTTAAATGAATTGTAAACCAAGTGTGGCATATTGTGTTGAAATTTTTAAAATTTGATTTAGTTTTTAATTTAAGCAGGCAACATGTAAATCTGGTGTATAAATTATGTTTCCGCATTTTTATATATGATTCACCTAAAAGCTTTGATTAAAAATAATTGAAATGCTTTATTTGTTTTGAAAGCATTTTGTGATGCTTTCTATATATATTTCTATACCTTCAATCAATTAATTATGTCATCAATCATCTTTTCCAGTGTAATATATTTTTTACACCACACACACATTCATTTAAATATATATTCGTATATATGTGTGTGTGTGTGTACAATTTTATTTGGGTAGGTGTGTGCCAGTTTGCCTTTGTTTATCTTTCCTCATTTTTCACTCATTTTTATTTGTATTTGTCTCATTTGGTTGCTTGAATCTTTTATTTAATTTATTAGTTTTTTGCTTGTCCCTCATTTGTTAAAATATTTTTTCAAATAAGTATTTAAATGAACAAATATTTTTCAGTTTATTTCTAACTTATTTTGAAATTCTATTTTCCATTTCATTTTCCCACTTATTGCCTTTAAACTAATGCTCTTAAGCACAAACAAAGTTTAGAGCTAGTTATATGATTTCCTTCTTTGAAAAATGCTTTGAACAGTGTTGAGATCAGTTTAGTTTCAAAAATTTATTTGATAAGTTGTTTACAAGATCTGCAAAATCATCATGTGGCTTTCAGTTTTTCTCACTTCCATTTTTAATTTTTAAAATGAGTGTTGGTTAGCGACTTAAATTAAGATTTTTAGCATTCTCTATTCAAAATATTTTGAAATTAGCATCAAATGATTGTTTCATTTGTTATTTAAATACTTAAGTTTTTTTGCCTGAGCACTTCATATTTTAAATGTATTCGGTTGACTTTTGTAAGGCTTATTCTCTCTTAATTTTATTGAAAACGAAAGTTGTTTAAAATCTCGTGTGTTGGGAATATTCTACTCAAAAATGCGCCATTGATTTTTGATTAAATTTTTTTTAAACTTCAAATATTACATGTTCAGCTAGTTAACTTGCCCCTTAAGTTAGCTCAATTATTTCCTGTCGGTTGTCTCCAGCCAAAAAGAACAAAATGATTTGTCACTATCTGTTTCCGTCTTTCACAATCTCTTCTCGTATTGCTCTAGTTCTTTCAGTAGTTCTCACATATAATGATAGCCCAGCTCTTTTCAAACCTTGACTAAGACACTTGTTCCATCTCGTTTTAGGTTTGCCTTTTAATTTTTTTCCCTCTGGTTGATAATTCCAGATTTTTTTAGTTGTTCTGAACTCTTCCATCCTCATCTTATGTCCTGTCCACTTCAATCTCCTTTCTTAATCACATCACTAATATTCATTTGTCTTGTTTTTACCTGATTTTCTCATTTGTGACATGATCTTTGTAGCCAATTCACATCATTCTTCTAATCCTCATGTTCTTGCAGGTATCCAACTTTTTACCCATGGTTCTCGTTAATGCCCATGACTTAGCTTCATATATAAAAAAATGGGACCATCATGGCATCGTAAGTTCTTAGTTTGACTTTTAATCCAATGTCATGTTTTTTGAAAACTTTGAAATATATCTCTGAAATACTCTTCCTGCTAGTGCTTTCCTTCTCCTCACTTCCTCCTCTATTCCACCTGCGTTGTTAATATGACTTCCTAAATAAATAAATTCTGATTCTATTTCTATTTCATCTCCATTCACTTTCACCTGTGGCTGTGGTCTGTATGTCTTTGTGATTGGCATTACCTTTGTTTTCTAAATGTTTATATTCAGACCCAATTTTTCATTTTCTTGTTGTAAAACCTCAGTTAGCCATTCAGAAAGCACTTGGTCATTAGGTTCATGTCATCTGCGTATTCTGCATCCTGCATATTTATTGGGACCATGCTTTTTCCTAGATCCTCAAGCTTTTCCAGTTTTTTCAGCATGTAGTCCAGAATGATATTGAATAAGATACATGTTATTGTATAATAATAATGATGCTGAATAAGACATTTATTATTTTTGTTATTGCATGCTTATTTGTTCTTTGCTGCCTAGGTGCAGGCTTTTTGTATTTGTGTTGATGGTCAGCGTTCATGGCACAAGTTATGTAGGTGGTTCCAAATTTGTTATTAATAGTGAGGAGCAACAGATTATAAATTATGTATGTCTTCTACTGGAACAACATTTTACCTTTGTACTTTTTAATTCCTATTTTTGTTTACAGCACCCTTATAAAATTTTTCTTAAAATTGAAGTTTTTTAATGCAAATAGTTCCTATGTGTTTTTACTGATAACTGATAAATCTTTATTCTTTTAATCATCTCCATAAAATGGTTATATTTACCCAATTTTATGTCACATGAGTGTAATTTTAATTGGAGAGCTACATAGTGAAGTATTGCCTTTGTTGGCACATACATAGCAAATACACGTATATATTTCTTTTTTGGACGACGGGATAGTGGAATGGTTAAGGTGCCTGGCAGTGTTGATATGATGTATGAGTTCGTATCTAAAGAAATCCCTGCCTATCACATGCAAAAGTTTGTGATGTGTTGGTTCAAGATTTATCAGTTATCAGCAAAAGATTGCTGCCGAGCTAGCATACCCAACTAAAGAAACTTGCTTAACAAAATGTAAAGCTTAAAAAAAATTAATCAAAAACTTTGGTCTGTTTGAGTATATTTTCATAAAACGCTTTAATAAATTTATCAAATAAATTTATCAAATAAATTTATCAACGATTATTTTGTATTGATAATGCTTAGACCAAAAAATGTGCATGCTACATAAAATATTTTCCAAAATTTTTTCATTGAACGTTTTCATTGAACGTCAGGTTTACAGATTTCAAACTAGACAAACTGAGCTATGATTTTTTTTCGAGTCTAGTATTGTGTGAATATATGCACGCATATTGCAAATAGGAAACTGCATATTCGTTTATAATTGATATGCAGGTTGAAAAATTGTTATTACCAACCACTTATTGCAAATACCATGTGCTCTAAAATGTGTACTGTACATAGAATTAAACAGAATAATAATGGAGTGAGTTATATGTTTAATATGAGAACATATAAGCATATGTAAAAGCAGAACAATGAACTCACACTGATATAAACGAATGGAGGCACACACATGCATGTGTACATGCTTGCTAACATACATAGTTGCTTATATGTATGCTTGTATTTATACATACACTTATACAAATACTATGTATATATTTTTATATAGTTTTACTTGCATGTTTATATATGTATACAAGCAAGCAAGCCAGCTGTAGCTATTCTGCTCTCTATTTCTATACTAAGCTTATGGATTCTTAGTTGGATTCAAAACAAATGATCCTGCTGCTGCTTAATATTGTATATATATATATTTTTATATATAAATATATTATCTTATATCAACGAATATTTACAAATGAACGATCTATACATATATATGTGTGCATGTATGTATATATACAGAAACCTAGATTTTTGCATTTATAAATAAGTGTTCATCCATGTACTTTATATGCTGTATGCTTCTTTCAACAGTGTGTATGCAAATGTATAATTATATATACTGAGCTGTGGATGAATGTATGTGTTTATGTAGATATGTATGTACATAAGTCTTTTGTGCATGTTTTTGTGTACATACCTTCATGCTGATTTACATAAAGGCAGTTGTAGTAATGATACTTTCATACAACTCAATGCATTTTATTATTTAAGTGCCAATAAATTGCCATCTAATTTAAATAAATATTTATCATCATTGTTTTTGAAACTTAGCTCCACAGCTCAACTTCAATTTATAAAATTTTTACAAATTAATGATAATTTGTGTAATAAATTTATTTTTTATTTCATTTTCATTCATTTACTTTTAAGTAAATCTTTTATGTCAATGTTTCAGTAATTCACTATCACATATCTAAAACTTTGAATCTAAAAAGTTTTTATCAAATTAAATGCAATAGACTGAAATCTCGAATTGATATAAATGACATACTATTTTATCTGAAGAATATCATTGTTTCTAACTTGTTGTATACACTCAGTAAATGAAAAATGTTAACAGAAATATCTGTATGTGAAGAAAGCCAAAAAGAAATGATTGTTCTTAAGATTTGAAAAGAGTAGTAAAGTTTGTCACAGCCATTGAGGTATACATCATTTGACAAAGGAACATTAATTAAGCCAATATCTAAATTACATTTTGAGATGTAGGTGGGCTAGAAATTCCGTTTCCACATCATGGCCTAAATCCCAAAAGATGTAAATTTCCTGAATCTAATGCTAGCTTCTTTGTATAACAACAACAAACAGTAATTAGACTTGATTGGGATGTTTATATGATATTCAGGAAAGTAAACCTACTAAGCTGTCAGAATAACCTTGGATAATGTTCAGTTTATTATGGTTACTTAAATGAAAATATATTTTAAGTATTTTTTAAACTTCAGAATATTTTTCTATTTTATATAATTGCTTTTTTTAAAATTTGGTATGTAATGGCCAGAATAAATTTAATTGATTTTTTATGATTATTTTATTAAATGACACTACTAATTCAAGTTGCCAACCATAAAATGATTACCTGAAAATATTCATTTACAAATTATAACAGTTATATTGTTCTAAGGAACTCATGAGTTATTTTGATTGGCAATTAATTCACTATAAGTTTTCATGAAAGACTTTAGTTAACTATAATTTATAAGTAAATTATAGTTTCTAAGTGTTTTCAGCAAGATCTTTTTGATGTTATAATAAAAGCACATAAATTCAATTTTTTGTGACACATGACAGGTTTAAAATAATTTCATCCAATCATTGGTTAAATTTCTGTCCATACTATATTTCATTAAGTGTTCATAATAGTATTTACATTTTTTAAACTCATTCCTACACTATAATCTATCTCTTTTGTTAAGATTTTTGTACTTTTAGTCTTATTTATTTATTTATAAATTATTTTGCTGCAAATTTGTTTAAAATTAAATTTAAACCTCAGAAGTTTAAAATGGCAAAAAGTTTCAAATAGCGTTTAGTGCGAAAATGCTTATTAATTAGATTTTCTTTTGATGCTGATTGAATCACTTTTTTGATGTAGTGTAGAGGTTATTAAAATTATTTTTGTCTTCAAACGGATTTGTTTTTATGGAAAATAAGACAATTTACAGAAAAGAGTGGAAGAAAGTTCTATTTGATATAATCAAATTGGGGAGTATGGTTATTAGTAGCTTAATTATTCTCATATTTATATAATCTAAGATTATTCATTATCTTTATCTTTTTGATTGGAGTTGCTTGTTTGTTGAATTAAAAAAATCAATTGAGCTTTGAATTGTTGAGTTTGGAAGATGATACAAATGATAGATTTTAGAAAAGTGTAGGTTTGCTTTTGATGTAAAGCAATTTTAGAGAAATTCCAAAAAACCAATAGCCATAATAAAGGTGTGAAAAGATTGTGGTAAGACTTGAATTTGACAAAGTTATTTATAAATTAAAAATGGATATTTTTAAAGGTTATATTTGTTTATATAAAGCAAACTATATTTTTGTGCAAGCACAAGGGCAATGTCCATTTACTAGCTCTCATTTTATCAGTAAACATTAGTAATGTTGTATAAAACATTAACTACTTTAAAATGGCAAATTAAATTTTAATACTATTTTTAAATAAGTGAACCACAATATCTGGTCAATCTATTTATAAATGATCAAATTGTCATTACTTTTCAAATAAAATTAATTTTTTTGACAGCCATTATTTGAATACCATTATTTTTCTGTAAAATATATTCACCTGTTTATCATTATCTTAATACCTTTATTTTTGTGTAAAATATATTTACATATTAATCATAAGACAAAAAAGTGGCTCATGACTGACTATTTGCTAGCTGGTTTATCTGTGCTAAAATTATTTCAAAATTAAATTTTGAATCATATGTTAACATAAATGCCTCAAGTTTGGAATATTTTTATGAATTTGTATAATTGTGTTTCAATGTAAAACGTCATGTTGTCAATAAAATATTTTTAATAAATTACCTATTATTACATTAGCTGCTCCAGCAAAAGTGATGGATTGGTTTAAAGAAGATGTCTTTCGGTTGATTGATTTATACAGAGATAGGCCATGTCTCTGGGACAATGATGATATAGATCGTCGTGATAGAAATCGTAAGGATGAGTGCTGGAATGAAATAGCTGACTTACTACAAGTCGACAGAGCCGAAATTGAAAGGAAAATGAAGTCACTTTCAACACAGTTTTACAGAGAATACAAACGTAAGATGAAAATTGAAGCTGAAACTGGTTCAGATGAAGGCTTCAAATCTAAGTGGTTTGCCTATGAGAGACTCTCCTTTCTTAGTAGAAGAGTTAGAGACAGACCAACTATTTGTTATTATGGATCGGAAGTTTGTTTATTATTTCTATTTATTTTTACAATTCAGTTGTTTTAAGTAATATTGAAGAAGAAAATTTGTTAATGAATTTTAGAATGACAAATTTCCTACAAAATTGACGAGAAATAAATTAAACAAATGTGCATTGATGACATCACAATGTCAAGCAATTTTTTTTATTCATTGAATTCTTTACCCTGTATTTAGTTCTCTTTGTTTATAATCTGTTGGTTTTTTATTATTAATGAATTAATCCTTTAATTATTGCACTAATTTTTATTAAACAAGGAAGTAGAGAATGGGGCTTCAGGAGAGGATGGTTTCAATGACATGATCAAGTTTGGTCAGATGGTAGACGAAAATTTCACAAATAACGAACAGTCTTGTTTTTCACTGGATGAAAATAACACGCCTAAATCACAAAATAACAACATTAACAACATCATTAATAATATCACTAACAATAGTCATACCACCACCAACAACAACAACAACAGCAGCAACAATTCTAACAGTGGTAGCCACGGTGTGAAAAGAAAATATTCTCAGGACACATTTTACGACGAACATTTCAACCACAATAACAACCACAACAACCCTGTCCACAACAACACGCCTAGCACACCGCCATCGCACAACAGCACAATAGTTAACAACAACAACAACAGTAGCAACATTAGTAGCAACAACAACAACATGTTCAACAACAAAGATGAATTTCAAATATATGGTGAGTTTGTTGCCTGCAAATTGCGCAGTCTACCCTCGCAGTTATTGCGAAGCACAGTGCAACATCGCATCAGTGACGTCATCTACCAAGCGGAAATAGGGAATTTTGATAATTATAACGTTAATTCAGGCAGCGCTTATGATTATCATTCTCCCAGGCAATCTTGCAAAAAAGAATTATGATGTATATTGTTAACATATCAAGAAAAAATTTTGTTTCATACATTATTTTATCTTTCTTGATGGCTTGTTTTTTTTCTATTCACTATATTAAACAAATAAATTTTTGATGGAATTTGTTATTAGTTAACTGTTGATTATTTTTCAAAATTTTGATGTTTTTCTGGAAATGGCATTTTTGGGAATTTAATAATAATTCATTGATAGAGAGAGAGAGAGAGGAGAGAGAGAGAGAGAGAGAGAAAGAGTATAATCATGACAACATGGCATGAAGTTTGTTGGAATGAATGCATGTTAACTGTGTGGACTAACATTTAAATGAGGCAATGCAATTTTTATTTGGCTTGCCTCCTATACGTTTTGCTCAATTTGTGGCTTTTTGTTTATATTTGCATTATAACTCAAATTTAAGAGAAAATGTACATGTCTAAATAGTTAAAATAAGGCTAACCCTAACCCTAAAATTTATAGATCATAAAACTAAAAGTTAAACAACAACAAACAACAACACACGTTTAGACAACATTTTCCCCGAGATCAGGGGTTGCCGTTTGGCTACCTATGATGAAACCGAAATACCCCTCGACGCCATCCACATCTGTCACTCGCCTCAGTATCACGCAACCCCGCTTTCACCCTGTCCTTCTCCACCTGCTCTCTCCATCCCAATCGCGGACGACCCCTTCCTACCACTCCTTCAATCTCGAACTCCAACGCTCGCCTAATCCCGACCCTTTCATCCCTTCTCAACACATGTCCATACCACCGCAATCTCGATCTCCTTATCAATGTCACAATGTCCTCATTCAGTCCCATCATTGACATCAGCTCTGTACTACTCCTCCTATCCTTCACTTTAACCCCACACATCATCCTCACCATAGCTCTTTCAGCCCTCTGCAGTACACTTTCCTCCTCTCTCCTCAACACCCAAGTTTCACCACCATATACCATCGCTGCTCTCACACATGCTTTATATACCCTCCTTTTCATCTTCACTGACCATTTTTTTCCACACAATACCCCACCCAGCTCCCTAAATTTCATCCATCCTATACGAACTCTAGCCGTAACTGCGCTCAAACATCCTCCATCCGCGTTCAGCTTATCCCCTAAGTAAACAAAGCTTTCCACTCTTTCAATACCACCACTCAACCCCGTCCTTGCGTCCCTCCTATTAATCACACCATGAACACATTTCTTACATTAGAACGTGCCTTCCACCTTTTTCAGTGTCCCCCTCACACCACTATATCTCTTATGCACCCATTTCTGACATCCTATACACAATACCGAGTTAGCCTTCACTCTCCTGTCACATACCCCACAGGGGTCTATTTTACTTATCACTCGCTCCGCACCTTTCCCACTCACCATTACCTTCGTCTTACCAATATTAACTTTTAACCCTTTCTTTTCAATAACACTTTTCCATCTGTCAAATTTTAACTGCAATTCTTCCATGCTATCAGCCATCAAGACTAAATCATCTGCATACAAAATCTCAAATAACAACCCCTCCATTATGTTTCCACACACAACATCCATCACAATTGCAAACAGAAACGGTTATAACACTGATCCTTGGTGCACTCCTACCTTAACACTAAAAGCGTCCGACATCCCCCTTCCAACCCTCACCTTTGTCTTTGCCCCTTCATACAGCTGCATCACAGCTTTAACATGTCTCTCATTCACTCCTTTCTTCCTCAACGCCCATTCAATGACCTTCCTCGGTACTCGATCAAAAGCCTTTTCTAGATCCACAAAGCACATGTACAATCTTCGTTTCTTCTTTCTATAATTCTCCTGCAACATTCTCACCATGAACAACGCATCCACCGTTCCCCTACCAAGCATAAACCCACACTGCATTTCATTAACTGTCACCATATTTCTCAACCTCCTCTCAAACACCCTCTCCACTACCTTCATTCCGTGCTCTAGCAATTTCACACCCCTATATGACCCACAATCTCTCACATCTCCTTTGCCCTTATACAACGGCACCAACACACTGTGTCGCCAATCCTCAGGTATACCTTCATCATCAAACATACTGTTAGCAATTCTTATCATAACTTCAATTCCTATCACCCCACTCGCTTTTATATGTTCTGCCGCCACTTCCGAAACCCCTGTCGCCTTACCTAGTTTCATTTCTCTAACTGCTTTCTCTACTTCCTCCATCGTCACCTTCGCTATAGGTCCGTGTGTGACCGCGGATTCCACATCTCCATCCCACTCATTCTCTTCATTCATCAACCTTTCCATATGAGCTTTCCACAC